GTGTTCACTCCCTCAGCGTAGCGCGCTCTTCCTCTAAACCTTACCGGTCGTGTTGGGCTTCCGGTTGCCAGCTTTACTCGAGCGACATTAAACTTTTCAAGCGAGCCACCGCAAGATCGAGCGATTTAGCGATGTCGGGTCTTGGATGTCTGATCGCTCTTGTTGTACTTCCTAGCAAAGCGTCGTATAACGTGTAGAACTACTAGCAAAATGAACGCATCATTGATCTCTTTACTATTGCAAGTAGCAACTGGGCAAAAGACTGCAACTATATATGATCAATATCAAATTCCCCAAAAACATCGCCATCGTCTTCATCAAAGTTCTCGTTGATCTCGTCACTGGAGGCGCCGTAATCGGTAGTGTCGACGGAATGATGACTCAGATCATCGCTCGAATGATCACTGATGTCAAGAAGGGCGTCATGATCCGTGGTGATGTCGTCCGACTCTCCGACCATCCCATCAATGATGCAGTCTGGCCATGTGTGATCCGGCAAGCCACCCGCTGTGGTTCGTTGAAAAACCTCAACGTCGTCGGTGCACCACATTCGGAGCTCGACCCACTCCTCCGTGTGCGGTTCGCCGCTTTGCCGGGTGCATTCCCACAGGTGATCTAGGCCGCCTTTCGAGAACCATCGTCGCGCAATAGTTCTAAGACGCTCTTCTTCTCGCTCGAGCAGCATCATCGCAGAGTCATCCTGCTCATCTAGTTGTAGTAATTGCTGGCGAACTTGCTGAAACCTCTTGCGACGGCTTATCAGCCACCGTCCAATGCGACGTACTTCCCATCCAAGTCGCTTGATTTCTTGCTGGCATCTTGCGCGAGACAATACTGCTGGAATGCCGACACGAACATCATCATCGTAGGCCCACGGCTCAGTGGGATGACTATATAATCCGTTGTTCCAGAGCGGCGTCAAGATGTCGAGTTTGAGCAGTTCGTTGAGATCCTCTGGGGCTGATGGCGGTACCCTTCGGGTTCTCAAGATCGAATGGGAATTCTGAGAATTGGCGAGGATGGCAGCATACTTTTTCACCTCGTCGTTATACATCGCCACTGCCTTCATGAGCCTTGGACGCAAAGAATTAAGATTCTTGACCAGGAGACCAGCCGCTTTCGTACCTATGAGCAGGCATTGCTACACATCAGCGTTCCTTCTGCCGGCGCAGAAGACTCGTACCATGAATTTCCTACCGAGGGCTTTACCGCCTAGGCGTGGGAGCCGCAGCCTCTCAGCTCCCTGTCGATATTGTACGACCAAGTCCCACAGTGAGCGAGATGCGACCATCAATGTGCAGGCAAATTCATAGTCTGTGCCAATCAAAGGTGTTGACATATTTAAGCGAGGACAAAGGGGATCACACCGGAGGGTCAGAATGCAAGAAGGGAGTGACGTACCAGGGTCCAGGACACTGATGTTCATTTCCGATGTGCGTAAGGAGTTTAGTCGATCATCAAGAACCTGCCGTTGTTTGACCAGCTGTTGAAGTTTAGTCGACTGTTCTATAAGCTTGTTCGTATTTATGGTGTTCACGCAGGCTAGTTCTTCTCTGTAGCAATCGAAAAGGAATACCGAAGTTAGGTCACCGGTTCGTGTCTCACTCCCAAACGACGACGATAGCTCAGACCCACCGGCATGCTGCGATATCTGTGTTAACCAGCTCAAGCTTGAACATGACGTTGCGCATCTCGGCTACCTCTTTGCGCTGTTCTTTCAGAGGGATCTGCTTGGACGCTGCACGTTGCGCGTGCCATTGTTCAAGGAGGGTAGCGACCGTCCATTCGGAGCGATTAACGACCTCAGTAATGACTCTGTCGGCTTCGGCCTTGAGCTTGATTGCGTTTTTGAGTCGAGAATTAAGTTTGGTCACTGGGCATGATCGATACGCCAAATATCAGCGACATGGTAAGGTAGTGCATGAAAGACTGGAAGCTTAGGCGAACCAAGATCGGCCAGATGCTGCTTGTTATAAGCAGACGCTCGACGATTGATGTTCTCCAGCCGATGGGAGGCACTCGATGATCGATTCATGGGTATCATGCCTCGAAGCTGCGACCACAAGCGCTCAGTTCCCTCGCCATCAGTCAAACTAAAATTGGGTAGAAAGTGCGGATCAAAGTCAACCTGGCAGGACCACTTGTGCGCATAGGCATGCATCGACGAGGGAGCAAATTCTAGACGCGGTAAGTGGTCTGCCAGAAGATTGCGCTGCGACACCGGGGAGAGATGAGCTGCTCAGCTACGGACTAAGCCAATGCTCAGGCTGAGTGTCACGAACAAACTCACTCGGCGTAAGTGCGACGATAAGTTGCAGGCGATATCATACGCGACTCCGACGCGACTTCGATCCTGACTCGAACTTTGGTGGGAGTCCGATCCCGAGCTGGATCCGACGTTTGTAGCGTCACTGGTACGCGCAGGCCCCGTAGTACAATCCGTTTCTCCGACCTCAACTTCTTCGAGAATCCATTTCAACAGCGACACCGGATATACTAACCTGCGGTAGACCAAACTAGCTTATTAGTGTCCTTGCCTGGAGTCACAGATGGCCAGTCCACACATACTTTTCACCTGATTGATGAAGGTTGCAAAGTCGCAGGCAATGATCATGACGGCACACTGCAGCAACGAGGCCTGTGTCGGCCACTACATTTGACGAAGCGGAGGTCACACCACCATCTGCGGCCTTCCAGTTGGCTGTGCATTCATCCTGTATAGGAGAATAGCTCGTTTAGCAATCACAGACAGTCGGGTCAACTCATTATTGGGTTCGGGTGACCCGACACCAGCAGCACCAAGGTACCTTCTCGCCCGCTTCAGTCGATCCATCGATCAAAGCTTGCTCGTTTCGAATCTTGTCTGGTGGCAGGAATAACGCTGGACGTGACTTGAGAGGATCAGCATTTGCCCGCGCGAATCGTCGATGCTGAAAATTGCCGTCGACAGCAATGATGACATCGAGGTCATTCTCGCTCTTGCCGGCTTCATCGATCCGAGGCCCAAAACATGCCGGACAAACGTCGGCCAGACGCTCGCGCGGGGAGAGGCCGAGAATTTCGGCGGTCAAAGTTGCCTGCAGCTGTTGCATAAATCGATATTCATCCATTGCGGCTTGAAGATGCTGACGCACGGTTGGACCCTGGGAAGCTTCCAATATATTCTGTAAGAAACAATGAATGTTTCCGGCCTGTCCCTGTCCAGAGCCCACCTTGTTAAAAGGATCCTCCGAGGATAATTCAGAGGACCAAAAGAGAATGAGCGCTTCGGACATGCCATAGATACCAAAAGGATCTACCCCCCAGTAGGTGTCGAGATATTCGATCGTGCGAAAGGTGAATGCGGTGATGCCTTCTCTTTTTCGGTTTGAAGATGACGACGTCGGGAGAAGACCGTGAGCTGCCAGGGTTTGGATCTCGGAATAGCATGGGCAGTATCGTAGTTCTCGCATGCCTGCTCATGGTTGGGGGATATCAAATCAGTCCAAGACGATAGCGTAGGGGTGGTTGACAAAAGATGTGCAACAGAAGCACCTACCTGCAAAGAACAGGTCGACAACCCGGACCTTTCTGGTGACTCGGCGTTCATGACATGCGTCGCACCACTCCTCGTCGTCCGGGGAAGGGACAAACCCGCTCTGTCGAAGCACTTCTTTGGCCTGTTTCTTCATCAATAGGTACGCCTGGAAAAGTTCAGGTCGTTTTGACGCCCTAGTCTTAGCTTCGGCCCTCGCAGTCCGGCGACGATTGCGCTGCTTCTTGGCGTTCCTCTCGATCCGCGATCGCTTAAGTGAAGAGGGCGCTTGGTCTTGAGAAGCACCGTCTGGGTGGAATGGCGAATGCTCCGGTCCAGATGAGTATCCACCACCGAAATCGCGACCGAAGTCGTAGTCGGGCTCAAAGTCGGGCTCAAAGCCGGGCGCGCTGTTAGGCTCGAAGTCGTGCTCGAAACCGCCGGTCTCGGTGTCTAGAGGCCACGCCGTTGCGCCATCGGCAATGTCAGTCCAAGGCTCGGACGATGATTTGTGGAGGCCGGCAATGGATTTCTTCGAATGCTCCTTCTCCTTCCGACGACGCGTTGACCTCTGGACCGATGGTGATGGGGGAGGGCTCGGCTGCCGTTTCGGACGCCTCTTCGTTGGAGAGCGAAAAATACCGAAATTGAAGCCGAACGTCTTGTCGAACAGCTCGCTATCGGGGGACAACGATGGCTCCCTTTTCCGTACTCGCTTGGTCCATAATCTCCTCCTCTTCTTCTTCTTCGTCTTCGCCTCCTCCTCCGTTCCCACCGACGTCGTGGCCCCATTCTCGATCGTGTCCTTGTTGCTGCAGGTCACCTTCTTCCTCCTCCTCCTCACGGTCGTGCTCTTCTTGCGCTTGGTCTTGTCAGTGCGTTTTGATGCTGAGCTAGGTTGTAGAGGTGGTGGTGTGTGTGGTAAGATGTCCATGCTTGAAGCGATGGGTGCAAGCTTGCAAGGCCTTGGGTGGAGGGAAGTGGGGGGAACTCGTGGTGCTGAGGCAGATGGACCATTAGCGGGGATAAGTGGCAAGTGCCCGAATTAGTGACCAGTTTTGCCTCCGGGGGCTGGGGGTTGGCAGGGGAATGGTGCACCTACCCTGTACCAACGTTTTCCTGGGCCAAATCTCGAAAAAGCTCCCTAAACTCGCCGCGCGCGGGGTAGTATATTTGTTAGGCTTATTTTGACCCGCATAGGTGTTTTGGATTGAGCTCGGGCGCCGTCGTCATTGACTGGAATTCATCACCGCTCTTGGCTTTGAGCGCACCTTCGCAAGCCAGTCTCGACTCACTAACTACCACGACTGCTTGCGGTGGTGAAAGATCGACCACACTCCCCCCTTCGACCCAGCACATCCGGAGTCGGACATCATCCCTTCAGGCTTGAGGTGGTGCCCGGCGCGCGCGCTCGGCGTCGGCGTTGAGCGACCGACGTGACGTGACGTGACGTGACAAGACAAGGGCACGGGGGTCATTGAGCATTATGGCCGACGAGGAACAACCAGCCGCCTCCGTCTCCAGTCTACGGGCGAGGTTCGAGCAACTGCAATCGCCTGTGTCCCCCGTATCGGCCAAGGCCTCACCAATCCTTGCGAAGCCTGTTCACGCCGCGACAGTGTCTGCGACGACCAAGACGGCCTCAGCTTCGCTCGTCGATGAGCCTGCCCCCGCAGTGCCCTCTACATCGTCCTTGGACAAACCTAGTGCGAAACCAGAAGACTTCAATGATGCTTCTCGTAAAGTGGACACGATCAAGGACAAGAAGCCTGCCCCTCCCCCACCGTCTCGACCTCACTACATCGCCCCTCGCGTCGCCCGCGACAACCCATCGCCGAGTGCGATCAACCACTTTCTCTCGTCGACGAATGACTCAACTGTATCGTCCGAGCAGGACAAACCATCATCCATAGCTTCATCGTCGTCCGCGGGGTCAGAGAAGCCCGACGCTCGACTGGTGGCATCGGAGAATGGGACTCATGCTTCGACGCTCAGGCCGGCTCCGACTCCACCACCGAGCCGGTCTCGGGCGAGCTCGACCGCAACTCCGCCATCACCAGCAGCAGTTTCCGTCGAACCAGTAGTGGAGACTTCAAATACGAACCCAACTAGCTCAGCACCAACACTGAACGCGAAATCGCCTCCACACCCCATCCCACCACTCGCGACTCGACCTACGCTCTCTGGCTCCTTGGCACCTGACCCGGCCAGTACATCGCCTGCTCGCAAGATCCCTCCACCTGTACCTGCCTCACGGAATCTCAGAGCAGCATCTCCGGGTTCTATTTCCACAGTCGGCCCCGAAACGGCTCCTCCTTCGTCCATATCCAGAGCATTGACCCCTGAAAGCTCTTCAACCCCACCGAACGGCGACGCCTCCGTTTCGTCGATCGCGCCAAAATTCAAGGGTCCTCAATGGCTGCGGCATCGTGCTGCGACCGAGTCTAGTGCAGCGCCTACGATCGTCACCTCGATGGCTCCCGATGTCGAAGACCGCCCAGGCGCCAAAGGGGTTCATGCTCCGGAGCATTCGTGCGGATACTCGGACGAAGACGAGGATACCGAAGATGCGTGTCAGAGCGGTCTCGATGACGAAAGCGAACGGATACGGAGCGAAAGCCCAGAGGATCTACGTGGACCCCAATACTCCGTCAGAGCTCGCCCGGTTGTACCCCCGCGACCGAGCATGGGTGCAAACTCTTACCAACCGCCGATCTCGGGACCCCTACCACGATCTCCCACGTCCCCATTCTCTGCCAGGCCTTTGGCTCCACCGACTCCGACCCGACTACCTTCTTCAAGTGCTGAAGTTGGCTTTGTCCGATCAGCGTCCTCGAGCACGAGCTCCGGCTCCATGGATACCCTACCTCCGCCACCTCGCAAGATTGCACCTCCAATCCAAAAGCTGTCCGATCCCGTGCGAGTCACTCCGAAAGTCCCGACACGTCCGGTCGATCCCATTGCAGCAGCTACTCCTTCAATCTCAGCGCGGCCATTTATGTTGTCCGAGCCGGCGTACATCCCTCCCCCACCTCCGTCTCGGTCTTTGGCCGTCAGTGAGCGACTCGCTCCGCTACGACCCGTCATCGCGTCGGCTTCGGAAGACGGTGGTAACTCTTCCGACGAGGGTGACGAAGATTCTTCGATCTATGCGAAAGCACAAGAACTACCCGATGCCACCTTTGCGAATCGGCGTCCCCCAACACTGAGGAATCGACGCTCGATCCATCCCCAGGGTCAATTCTACTCCTTCGCTGTGCGAGGGACCAAGCTCGTCACCGGTCAACACCACGTCTACATCTGGGGGACCGAGAAGAATTCGACGGCTTCCGAATCGGTTACTTTACCTGGTGAACACAAGGTCTATGCCCTCGAGTTCACCCCCGACCAAGACGGGAGGTACGTTTGGGCCGGGACCAAGGATGGTCACTTGTTCGAGGTCGACATTCTCGAAAAGGAGGTGACGATGATCAAGCACCATGCTCATGGAGCACCGGTGATTGGGATCTATCGTTGCGGGAATGGGATGTTGACGATCGATCATAATGGGAAGGTGTTGGTTTGGGGCGATGTTGGGGAACCTTCGGATGGAGGGGTTCGGCTGAGCGAGCGGAACAAGGGGCAGAGAGTGCCTGATAAGCAGAACTTGTGAGTCGAGGGAGATTGACGGACGCCAGCCAATGGACACTGATCACGCTTTCTCAACGCATCGATTAGTCACGCCGTCATCGGGACCCAACTGTGGACTTCGTCCGGCCCGGCAACCAAATCTGGCGCTTCGGCTTTCGCCATGCGCTCACCTCAGATTCGAGTCTTTGACACCTCCGGATCCCGTCCTTGGACCGTCCTCTCTCGTCCCTTGATCGTTCCGGACGTCGTGGGTCAGATCGGCGCCGTGACAGCCTCAGCGGTCGTACCCGCCCTGGAACAGTCCGTCTTCCTCGGTCATGACAACGGTTACGTCTCAGTTTGGAACCGAGTCACCTTTGTGTGTGAAAAGGTCCAACGTATCAGTCCGTTCAAGGCAACGGCCATGGTTGGCGTGGGCAAAGACCTTTGGGTCGGGTACAGGAGCGGTATAATCTCCGTTTTGGACGTTTCGTCGAGTGACGTGTGGATGGTCAAAAAGATGTGGAAAGCCCATGCTAGCCCCGTGACCAAACTCATCATCGATCCCACCTCACTTTGGACGGATTCGACATTGCAAGTCGCAAGTTCGGGGAGCGACATGGTCGTTCACCTCTGGGACGGACTCCTTCGGGATGACTGGCTCGATGCGGAGATGCATCTCCGGCAGCGGGATTATTGTACTTTCCGTTCCATCAAGGCGTTATGCGTGTCGTGGAACGTTGATGCCTCAAGACCTGGGGATCTTATGGGCACCCAGGCGAATCTGGACTTTTTAAACGACGTGCTTAAGAGCGTCGATGCACCGGATATCATCTCATTTGGGTTCCAAGAAATGGTGAGTGCAGTAATGCGCTGGTCATTGACGCTCGGGGGCTGACTGGATCGCTTGGTCCATTCACAGATCAACTTGGAGGACAAGAAGCTCACAGCCAGTGAGTGGGAAGACCAAGTCGATTCAGGGATCTTACCGTGGCGCTGACCCACCTTTTTGGTAATGTGATCCCATAGAGTCGATGCTTTTGGGCAAGAAAAAAGGCGACCAAAAATTCGCCGACGGTGTATCGTCGTCGTACCGAGTTTGGCACGACAAGCTCGTGCACGCTGTTCGCCTCGCCATGCCGCCCGAAAGCCCTTACGCCGTCGTCCACGTCGGCGACATGATCGGCCTTTTCTCGTGCATCTTCGTCAAATGTTCGGAAGCGTTGGCCCTGCGTGACGTGGCGCAGATCACGGTCAAGACGGGAATGGGTGGTCGATATGGTAACAAGGGTGCGATCCTTTCCCGGTTCGTCATCGACGACACGTCAATCTGCTTCATCAACTGCCATCTCGCCGCGGGGCAAACTCATCGTCGTCAACGAGACCGGGATCTCGTTGATATTCTCGAAGAGAAATCGGCCTTCTCCGAACTTGACGCTCGGTCATTCGGAGCTTATGCTCTCGGGAGTGGCGGCACGACAGTCTTTGATCACGAGCTAGTCTTCCTTTCCGGAGACCTCAACTATCGTATCGATGCTCGAAGGGACGTCGTCATCCAAGCCGTCAGGGAAGGGAACTATGATTCTTTGCTTTCTTACGATCAGCTTCTACAAGGCCTGGCGACGAACCAAACTTTCCGCTTGCGGTCGTTCAAGGAACCGCCGATCACTTTTGCGCCGACGTACAAGTACGATCCGGGGACGGACGAATACGACACGTCGACTAAGAAGAGGACGCCGGCTTGGTGTGATCGGATCTTGTATCGTCAGTGTTGCTCTGATCTTGTATATTTGTGGGTGATTCGTACCTTCTGAACTTCCTTTTCTCGTGTTCTCCAGGAGCCGATCGAGCCGACAAAGTCACCCCCCTCCCAGACCAATATCGTCGATGGGAAGTCAACGTATCGGACCATCGACCCATTTCAGCTGCCTTCGAACTCCGCATCAAGCGTATCATACCTGATAAACGAGCGTTGGTGTGGAATGAAGTGGAGAAGGCTTGGAAGGGCGTGGAGGAGAGTCGTTTGAGCGAGGCGCGGGAGTATTATCGTAGGTGGTGAAGGATGGAGGAAGCGTAACTCCTTCAATGGGACGTCATTGCAAGTTCTTAGAATCGTAGTATGCTCTATGTGCATTTTGCAGTGCCTCTTCTGCCTTCACAGCGCAGCGAGCTCGTCGCAGAGGTCTCGACCTTGTCGCTCAGTGTCGTGGCACTTGCTCCTAGCCCAGACTTGAGAAACGCAGAGGACTCTGACACTGCCCGACAGAAGCTGTCCGATTCCGAGTTCGCGACCTTTGCCCCGGATGAGTTGACTCCACGGCCCGATTTTGCGCGCAACTCAGGAGTACTGGTTTACGTCTGTGGCCTTACGAGTGATTTCATTACAGCACACTGTGGGCCCCATGATAGCTTAAGCTTACAATGAACTCTACCATCGATAGCTTTACTGAACATCACACTTTGAGGAACTTTTTTCCAAGGGCTGCAATGGAGGAGCGCATGATTTAGTTTTCTGCACCGTAGGTCCGAGCTCGATAACAACCTCGAGCCCAAATCACCTCCTTTGGCTGTGAGAAAAAGGAATGATTTCCGGTGTGGGTAAGTCACATGAATCAAAAGAGAGAGAATGAATGAAGATGATGCTGTAACTTACGAACTTGGTCCCAGGCCGGGAATACCTGAGGCAACGTCTCCCAGAACAGCTTCGGGTACGTGGCCCGAATAACTTTCTCCAGTTCTGTGATCCGGCGCGAAAACACTAAAAAGTCAGCATGATCGCATTCGCCGTAGCCTCCAAAGAACTCTGAACGCTCACCTTCTGTAACGATCCTATACCCCAGTTCGTTGGGGTGCAAGCCGTCGGGCATGTACTTGACGTATTTATCGGAACCGAGCCTGCCTTCCACGGCCGCGAGTCGATCGATCGCCTCATGCGCATCAACAACAGGCAGACCCAATTCCTTGCCCAAGCTTCGGACCAACTCGGCGTATTCCGCTGCACGTTCGGCCGTCCTTACTTCGTTCGCATCAACGACGATCCCACGGCTAGCCAACTCTTGGTCCCATAATTCGGCTAAGAAGGGTGGGCAAGTGATGAGGACGATCTCGGGTGGTGAAGGCAAGGAGCGAGCCAAGCTGACGAGTGAGCGGAGGTTGTTTTGAAAGTCGACTTCGGAGACGTATTGCGCTGATCTGGGGGATACGCAGTCGTTCGCACCGAGCCAAATTGTGAGGAGGCGTACTTGGGGAGCGCTCGCCGGTCGAGGGAGGAACTGAATAGGGGTTGCGGGTCAAAGCCATTTTCAGAAATCTGGAGAGAGTCTCGAGTAAACTCTCACCTTTTGGGCAAGGTGAAGGCACCAAGCAGCTGGAGGAGGAGGAGGAGGAGGAGGAGGAGGACAGGGGTCAGCAAGGGGAGGCCACAGGTCAGTTATCGGTGGTAAGCGAGGCGGTCGGTCACCCCCCTCGTCGGACACTCTCGCGACCGAGCTGTCACGCACAGGACCGTTCAGCAGCTCCGGACGGTGCTCCAACGGCCGGCAGATAGAAATTATGCTATGAGAACTTGCAGTTGTAACCACCGAATCCTCTGTTGAGAACGTCGTATATGCGGGTGTAGCGATGCACGAGCGCAAGCGCCTTGTGTGATTGAGTCCTGAAGGAATCCCAAGTGGCACGGGAGTGAGCGTGGAGTTCCTGAACTAAGATTCAGTTGGGGGTGAAATTCTCAGGCACGGCAATCATGATAACTTGATCGTAGGCGAAGGGATAAGGCGCTTCCGTCACCGGGGCTGCGCCGGAGCTCATGGGTGTGCTCATCGAGGAGGCCCCGGGGAGTAAGAAAGGTAGCGAAAGAGGATGATCCGGATGGCGAATGTCGAACTGAGCGCTAATGTGACTGGTGAAGAGCCGCTTGGCGTAGGTGGGACAGCACGAGTACGGTGAGGGAAAGGAAGGTGAAAGGAATTCAAGTGGGGGGACTCGCCTGAACTGACCGGTCGCTCACGGTCGCTTGAATCGCTTGAATCGCTTGAATCGCCCAATCGGCGACCGATTTTAGCAGCCGGGGGGGCGGCCTGTCCAGGCTGCAGTGGGGCGGCGAGACAAACCCGCCGAGTCGAGTCCTGCTGTTCAGTCGTCCGATCCAGACCGCGGCGATCCCCACGACATTAAGGTCCACTGGCAGCGCGTGGCCTGATCGACTCGTGCTACCCACCTCGTTCGACGGCACGGGCTGGGACACGACACACTCCTTGAGCTCTCGACACGAAGGGAGTTCCGACTGCCTGTCGCTTCCCAGGCCTCGGACTCTTAAGGGCAGGCAGCGCACGATGGCGCCCGTGGCATCGACCTCGCCCGTGACGGGGAGCGTGGTGCCACCGTTCTACATCCACTCGTCGTCGCGTCACTTCCGTACTGTCGACGGACGCACCATCCTTCTACGTGGCATCAACCTCGCCGCATCAGCCAAGACCCCCGTCGGCCAACCGGGGGCCCAACTCGATGGCTTCTGGGAACACGCCAAGGACGGCGAGATGAGCTTCGTCGGGAGGGTGCTCGATCTCCACAACGGCGTCGCCGATCGTCACCTCGAGCGACTGCGCAGTTGGGGTTTCAACTGTCTACGATACATCGTCAACTGGGAATCGATAGAGCACAAAGGACCGTGAGTGATCGTGGCGTGGCGTGGCGTGGGGAGGCATGTGGCATGGTGTTTTGAGTACTCTCTAGGCTCCAAGCTAACACCCCCACACTCGACTTCGCACCTCCAGCGGCCAGTACGATCAAGAGTATATCGACTACACCGTAGCTCTGTTGCGCAAGTGCAAAGAACGCGGCTTCTTGGTCTATATGGACCCGCATCAGGATGTGGTGAGTCCCATCACAGCACTGTGGATCGATCGCGGTGACCAAATCTGACCCTCTTCAAATTCTTCAGTGGTCACGATTCTCTGGGGGGTCCGGAGCCCCCTACTGGACTCTCATTGCGTGTGGACTCAACCCAGAAAATTTTACCGTCACCAACGCCGCCGCGATCGAATGTGAATGGCCCCACCCGGACCACCCCGATCCGACCACGTTTCCGGCCATGATCTGGGCCTCCAACTATTCACGACTCGCGGCGCAGACCTTGTTCACGCTCTGGGGAGCCGGCCGGGACTATGCGCCCAAGTGCATCATCAACGGCGTCAACATCCAGGACTTTCTGCACGAGCACTACTTCAACGCGATAAGGCAGCTTGGGAACGCGATTGCCGATGCCGGCGACCTGCTCGACGAATGTGTCATCGGGTGGGATTCGCTCAACGAGCCGAATGCGGGCTATCTCGGCATCGACGACATCACCCAACATGGCAAAGAGAGTATACTCAAGGTCCGAACGATGCCGACCGCCTTTGAAGGGATGCAATTGGCGATGGGGGAGGCCGTCGAGGTCGAGAACTGGCGATTCAGCTCGCTCGGGCCGAAGCGGGACGGTTCGGTGCTCATCGACCCGAAGGGGGCCCGTGCCTGGCTGGACCCGGACGCAGAGAACGACGGCTCACCATATGGATGGGTTCGAGGATCAGACTGGCAGCTGGGGACATGTATTTGGGGCCTGCATGGCGTCTGGGATGTCGAGACGCGCGAGGTGTTGCAGGCCGACTACTTTAAGTGGTACCGAGGGCCGCAACCGGCTGAGGAAGCGAGACGAGAGGTGTTCTACGGCAGCGACTACTGGCTCGCCCATTGGCGGCAATATGCACCCATCGTTCGCGAGTTTCACCCCGAGGCGATCCACTTCATTCACACCCCCGTGTTCCAGATCCCGCCCAAGATCGAAGGCCCCGAGATCCAGAACCGCGCCGCCTACTCAACGCACTTCTACGACGGTCTGACGCTGGTGACCAAGCACTGGAACTGGTTCAACGCCGACGCACTGGGAATCCTGCGCGGCAAGTACGCCTCGGTCGTGCTCGGCGTCAAAGTCGGCGAGACGGCCATTCGGAAATGCATGCGCGAACAGTTGGCGATGTTGAGGCAGGATACGTTCGATGCTCTTGGCCAATATCCGACGATGATGGGCGAGATTGGCGTCCCGTTCGACCTGGACAAGAAGAAGGCTTACCAGGATGGCGACTACACGGCTCAGATGCGAGCCCTCGACGCGAGTCTCAACGCGTGCGATGGAACCAATGCGCTCAACTACACCGTTTGGACCTACTGCCCCGATAATTCTCACCAATGGAGTGATCGATGGAACGGCGAAGATCTTAGCATTTGGTCCCCAGACGATGCGGAGCGGATGGATGATTTCCGAGGCTCGAATGTGCGCCTCGATCTCATGGGTCGCATCCCCGTAACCCGAGCTCGAGCAGCTTCGAAAGCGAGCCCGTTGGATTTATCACGAAATAGCTCATCGGCTCAGCTTTCTGCGATGGGGGAGACGATCGCCGCACATCCTTCGTATGCGATCGGCGCTGCCTCTCTTGCGCTCGTCGTGCCGGTGCAGGGCAATGGTGCCAGGCTCACCTCGTCGAGCTCAGCGAGCTCATCGCAGCGCGAATTTTCCAAATCACGAGACGAGCATTCGCCGTCCAGCACTTCCTCCACCTCGTCGCTGCCTCCTCTTGCCTCGCAACCGGCGTGCTACCCCTTCGAATCCGAGAGGATCATCTCTCTCAACGATGGTGCTCGAGCAATCGCGGCTTTCTGTCGACCTTACCCGATCTTAACCGTCGGTACACCAACCAACATCAACTTTGACATCCGCTCATCCAAGTTCTCTTTCGAAGTCGAGCTTGACTCGGACGACTTTACTTCGGACCAAGGCGAGCTCGCAACAGAGGTCTTTGTTCCTTTGATCCACTACGCCGCGTACCCTTCCCGCGTCAGTCAACTCATCAAGAATGACGATAACGCTTTGGTGAAGCTCACCACTCCGACCGCTGCGAACTATGCGGTCTATCACTCGAAACGAACGCCCCCTGCCCCTACCAAGCACGAGGACGCGTCGGACGAGTTGGACGCGAGAGGCGCTCAACTCGCTTCAAGTTTGACTGAGCTTGAGGATCCGTCCAAATTGGCGCTCAAAGTCAAGGTTTCGGCGGGAAGGTGGGAGACTGAAGGGCAACGATTAAAGTGGTATTACCCTCGACCGACTCAAGGCAAGGTCATGCTCAAGATTGAGATCGAGAGGGAAAAGGGGGCGATTCCGAAATGGTCAGTGAAACATCCTTACGTTCGAAGAGGAACCCCATACTGAATGTCTTCCCGTCTTTCCTCTATCCGCCAGGGTCAATCAATGGGAACGTACGCCAAAACTTTGAAGGTTCTGTGATCGCTGCGTTACTTACCCGACCTCCCTCCCTTGTACCCACACAGGACGGCGCATCAATGCCCAGCATGCGCCAACGTTTGGAAGAACTGCGAGCGCTCAAACCTTCGGACGCGTGCTGCGTTCAGTAGCATGGTCGGCCATATGTGTGGGTCTCGTGTGGACCTTGTATCGTTGCTTTGTTTAATTTCCATGATTGGGCTCTCATTTTTCTTCTTCTCCTGTTGTGACAACGAGCGCTCTCTTCAGTCCGGGCTTCTTATACCCACTCCAATAAAGATGCTTTTGATGCCCCATTTACACCAAATCTAAATACTCGTGATGCAATTTAATGTAACAGACAAAGAGAAGAAGAATCCAAGAAGGGTTGGCAAAAAATCGGCAATGAGAAAACAAGTGAAACCCTATCCTTTCACGGCTTGGATCGTGACTCGTTTCCAGATCCGGATTGAGGGTTGACGTAAAACATAATAAACTCGAGAACAATATTTAAGCACTCGGTGCTCTGTCAAGGCGAGCAAGGATGGACGGATCGGGGTCTTCATCCGGTTGGTCCGACTCCACATCCATCTTGTCGGTACTCGTCGCGCACGTACTAGGCCCGGAGCTCGTTCGACTGCGCGAACTTGAATTTGCGACGCTTTCGAAATGACTTGATCTAGGAGAGGTCGACGAGGTCACACTTTGAGGGTAACTCTGGGTGCGTTCCCTTTCAGCTGAGGTTTCCATCGTCGGAGGATTCGAGCGGCTCGATGCGGAGGCTTGGTGTTTCGCCCATTGCGGTAGCGAGGAAGGTGAGACACGGTATTGCCAAGGGTCAGAACCTTGTCGCTGCAGGCCGTACGATCGAGCATTCGAAGTTTCGGAAGACGAGTTTGAGGGACCCAAATAGGCTCTAGAGGATGAAGAAGGTGCATCCATTTGTAATCGAGGTAAAGTGACCCCCGCCGACTCGGCCCCTGGGTTATGGTTGCGCAAGGCGGCCAGAGACAGATGAGCGGCTTTTTCGAGACTGGACGAAACGGGGGAGTGTTCGCGCTCGTCCGGTTCTGCGCCTTCTTTCCGTGGTGTAGACGAATTGGAGGCTTCTTGGTGTCGTGAGATGGTGTCGGGACCGGCGGTTCGATCCCCACGATAATTCATGCGCGGGACCCGGGGCGAGACAAAGCCCGAAGCGGCAGGCCGCTCGTACTGAGCCAGGTTGGGTTTAGTGTCCGGCTCGGAACGATAGTACACCCGGTTCTGTGGCGAACCTTGCGAATGTGAGAGTTGCCGAGGGGACGTTGTTGCAGGCGGCACCGAAGGTTGCCGACTTGCGTGACGGGGCGGTGAAATTGACCGACGCCGAGCGGACACCCCTGTCCGCAGATACGTCGGGCCCGAAGGCTGATAAGAGCGCATGGATTGTGGAGATGTCGGTCGCGAAGGGAACTCGCGAGCACCTGGTGATTGCTGAACAAACCCACGCTCCCGACCGTATCCTTCGCGCCAATCGGCCCACGTACGCTCTCGCCGTATCGCATTGACGACCTCCTCTTCGAGTTGCTGGATCCGCAGTGTGAGTTGAGCGTTGAGCTTGCTCAGACGGGTTACTTCGGCTTCACAAGCGGCGAGGTCGGCTTCTTCGGAAGTTCGGCTGGTGCGGAGAAAGTAAGCGGAATCGATGTTTCCATTGTCAGCACAAGGTCTCAGTTGCGAGGTGCGGCAATCGGAAATGTATGCGCGCTAAGGAAGACGCCGAACAGGGGTGTGGGTGTGTGGGTCCGTGGGGTTCGCGAGCCTAGGGCGCAAGGGAGCAAACTCCGGCTCGAAACTGGCGTTGGCTCGATTTGGGGACGCCGCAGGCCGAACTGAGCGCCGTCCTGGCAGGGGATTAGGTCACCTGAATGAGGCACGACTAGGCGACCCACGCCGAAGGTTCACCACAGGTGTCGACCCGAGCTGACCAGCGTGGAGCATACATGTTTCCTTTGAGCGACGTTAAAATGCGTGTTGATATGTCGATCCAGGTGGGACAGCAGCCGAACTTCAACGCGGGTGTGGGGCGAGGCGGACCTTGCGATGGTGCGGGAGAGGTGTCTCAATGACTCGTGAAACTCACCTTGGCCCTGTTCCGGGTGCCCAGGTACAGACGACGCCTCGAGCGGTGCACATGCTGCACTGAGGTGTACGAGAGCACTTAGCCTTGCGCTTGCGACACTGTGCCAAGGCAGACGGTGTGGCAAGAGGGGGTTTTGGGTCAGCTTCGTCCGCGGTGCGATCGTGCGCCCAGGCGTGCGGAGGTTTCGGGCAAACGGACTCCTCGCAACGCGCGTTTGTCGTAAGCGACCGCACGCGCCGGCCACGACGAGCGGAGGGGGGACGTGTCCAAGCGTCGACTTACCGATTCGCAGCTGACATGCCGGCCTTCGCTTGATGGAACGGGTGACTGTCGTGTCATGGTCGGATTCGATCAGACTGAGCGCGTGAATCGAGACGGGGTCCTGAGGTGAGGTGGGAAAGAGAGAGGGAAGAGAGCGAGACAGCAGACAACAGGAGAATAGAGAGGAGAGGGCGCGAAATGAGGCGAGGCAAGCGCGACGACGGCTGAAACCTCCAACAGAGGCCGAACAGCTAAAGCCGCGATAACCCGTGTCGTATTTTTCTAACCTAGTGCGCCCGGTCAGGTCACTCCGTAGCCCCTACAATAGGACGTGCGTGCTCTCGACGATCGCGTCAGTGCCCCCAGCTCGGCCTTGTCATCGGTTCCCATTTGCTTAGCCGAGAGTCCGACTACCCCCTGTCCGGCGGTCCTCGGCCCGAGTCACACGCCGATACGCATGCGCCGCGTCCACTAGCCCCCTTGGTAACCCTTGGTACCCCCTGGTAATGACACGATCCTGAGATTGAGGTGACGGTCCATCCATCCGCTACGGGAAGCCTCGATGCAGAGGGATTGGCTTTCGCGACCTGGCAGCACGGACACGGTTGCCTCCGCACGGTCCGACGGCCAGCGGCCGGGAGTAGCAGGTCTGTGCGCTGGCTATTGGCTTGCTCTGTGCACGGTGGGCGATCGTACGACGGCTGAGGGTGACGACGACGCTCAGCGCTGCGCTGAAACATGACCTTGAGCTGACACAAGAGAGCTGCCTCGTGATCGGCTTCGGTTGATCTACGTCCGGAGCCGAACGGCGGCGATAACAGCTCGGTAGTACCATCGGTTCAAAGCTAAGTCTATGGCTACGCGTATAAGGTACAGGTGTGGATTCTGACCCGACGCGTTGGCTGGTCCACATCCGAGAGCGTGCTTGGCGTGCGGTTGTTCGGCCGACGCGCAGTGCGCAGTGCGCCGTGCGCACGCACGTGAGACGCGCATCATGCGGTACCCGCTCGGCGCTCGAGCACACGGGAAAGGAGCTTCTTTATTTCCTGGGGTCGTCGCGCAGGTATGACGGGCCGGTCGCCCTCGACGCACTTCCGAGACATCAATCTGCGGACTGATCTAGCGGAGAACGGTGACCACGTCATTGACTGCATCGACATCGATTAAGTTGGCCACGAGGGATTGACCACACTCTCGGCAGCTGACTCAACGCGACCTCCCTTCACGAAACGTTCTCAAGATCATTTGGAGTACTTATTAACGCGCCCCCGGAGGGGGCGACGGGTCCCTGAACCTCTGACGGAGTAACACCGACTGACAGCGTCAGCTAGTATTACTAAGAACGTGCCATGGATTGGGTATTCAGCACCGAGTTCGCGAGTCAGTTCGGTTCACATGAATGAGGCGTGTAAGTGTGCCAAACGTTAATGAGCACTGCAGACAAGACGAGCTCGAGCCACAGCCGGGGTGTAAATGCATAAGTTGAGATCACTCGACATCGCCCATGTCACAGTCCGCGTCTGGACGAATTTGTGCTCGCATGTGGTCGTCAGCGCCGGGGACCCACATCGCGCGTTCACCGAAGTCAGCTATAAGAAGTGGTTTCAGTTGACGTTGAGAGATCGGGACTTCCGGGAGCGACTTGGGCGCGAGACGGCCTGGCTAGTATAAGGTTCGGCAGCCGCTCGGTAGGTCCAAGCTCAAACCTCGGACCGACGGACCGACTTGCCTGACCTCCCTTTCATTTTCCTGCCTTTGACTGACAACCATTGTGCATCCCCTTGTCATCCTTTCCTATTATTATCTCATCTGTCTCTATTGTCCTAGGTCACCACAAAGAACCACATTGGCTACATCTCTCCCTTTCATTTCCTCAGATTTCGTTAAATAGCGATCCGTAGCTCTCTTCTCTCTTTTCCTCTTTTCTCATCCTTCACTGGACCCCCACTCTTGATTCACACTTGACAATCGACTGGTTTTGGGACGGTCTATTCGTCAAGCACCATCGAGAGTACTACCGAGGAACCCGCCTTTACTTACGCCGTAAGGAGCCCAGATTACTCAACAGCGGCGTAAGTAAAGGCGGGTTCCTCGGTAGTACTCTCGATGGTGCTTGACGAATAGACCGTCCCAAAACCAGTCGATTGTCAAGTGTGAATCAAGAGTGGGGGTCCAGTGAAGGATGAGAAAAGAGGAAAAGAGAGAAGAGAGCTACGGATCGCTATTTAACGAAATCTGAGGAAATGAAAGGGAGAGATGTAGCCAATGTGGTTCTTTGTGGTGACCTAGGACAATAGAGACAGATGAGATAATAATAGGAAAGGATGACAAGGCGATGCACAATGGTTGTCAGTCAAAGGCAGGAAAATGAAAGGGAGGTCAGGCAAGTCGGTCCGTCGGTCCGAGGTTTGAGCTTGGACCTACCGAGAGGCTGCCGAACCTTACAATAAACTGTGTCCCACAGCAACTTCCGCACAAAATGCTCACATAACAGTGTGCGTTCTCGTGATGAATATCCTAGATGTTCAATTGCCCGAACGATCAATCATACTAGTAGTCGTACTCTCATCACAGCTTGCCCTTCTTCGCCTTTGCCTCCTTTGCATGCAGAACCCGGACTGTGCGCGTATTTATCCGAATCAGCGACCTGTTCACCGAACTAGCGGCGTGCTAGCCGAAGGCTGACAAGACTCACGATCTTTTCGAAGAAGTTTACCACTCGCAGTTTCTGCGGAACACGCCGGGTAGCGAGGGCGGATCAGTATCTCAACCGCGCGGTCGCAAGATAGGGGTCTCGGCCCGAGGAGGAAACATACTTGGGATCGAAGGCAAGAAAGCCACTTCGGCCAAATGCTTGTACTTGATCTTGTTATCCGCGACGACCTTTTTGATGCTAGCGATGTACTCGTCCGCGAGCTTGGGGTCCTTGGCCAGCTTCACTTGTTCGGCCGGGGGAAGAGCGACAAATGCCTTGGGTTTCTCGCCGGTATAGTCATCCGGGATGCCGATGACGGCGCAATCGTTGACGAGCGGGTGGTCCAAGAGGAACCCTTCCAATTCGGCAGGTGCGACCTGATTACCGCTCACTGTGCAATCCGAGCCAGCATTACAGGTCAGCTTCGCAATCCTCGAATAGACTACTCAGGAAACAGGGTCGAGCGACGAACCTTTGATCAACTCCTTGATGCGGTCAACGACAAACATGTGTCCGTTGTCATCGATGTAGCATTCGTCTCCGCTGTGGAGGAAACCTTCCTCGTCCCAAGTTTCTTTCGTCGCCTTCTCGTTCGCCAAATACCCGATCGCATTCGAAGGCGAGCGCGACCACAGCTCGCCCACGCCTCCGGGTGGCAAATTCTTCCCCTCGGGCGACACGATCTTAACCCTAGATTGGAACGGAAAAAATTCGTCATTACGGTGAATTCAGAGTCATTTGAACGCGGGAAGAAGCGATTTACTCGGTGTTGGGGAAGACCAAACCAGCCGAATGGCCAGGCGAGCCGCCTGCGACGTCGAACTTGGTGATGATCGTACATGATTCGGTGGCACCGTAGCCTTGGCCAGCCAGGACCTTGGGAAACTTGCGCGAGAAAAGTTGAAAGATCTCGATCGTCAAGGGTGCAGCGCCGGCCATACATATGCGAACGCTCGAGAGGTCGAATTTCTGCTCGAAAGGTGTCCAGAACGATGGTCACCCTCGTGAGTCGGATGCCCCTTACTTGTCAGGTATTCTGGCTCACCTTTGTGATATCGTTCTTGGCGAGGAGGATCATGATCGGAGGGACAACGTAGAGCGACGTAATCTTGTACTTCTGGATCGACCCGAGGAACGACTCGAGCCCGAATCTGATTGAGGATTGAACAAACCCAACTGTCAAACATAGCTTACTGTGGTCCCAGCGACCATAAAGGATAAGAGCTTACTTGGGGATGACGCAGACGGGGGTGTTATTGTAGACACTGATGTGTAGGACGACGACCTGTGAACAATAATGCGCAGTTCAGAGGACGGTTAGCACATAAGGGGGAAAACGATCAGAGCGGCAAAACACACCAGACCGTAAATATGGAAGACTTTAAAGATCGAGAGGCGTTTCAGTACATGAGCGAGCTTCAATCGTATTCCCCTCCGGGACTCGAGGCCACTCACAAGGCAAAACCCCAGCGATCACATCCCCTTTTTTGGTCTTGGCATCGTACCGAGTGAATGGACGCTTGCTCCAGTGCACGGTCGACTGCAGTACATTCGCAATCAAGCACCGATGAGGGATCTCCACGGCCTTGGGCAAACCGGTCGTTCCCGAACTGAACGAAAGGAACGCCAACCCCTTGGGCTTCAACTTGGGCAAAGGGGGTAGTTCGACCCCACGACCTTCTCGGGCGATATCGTCCAGCGTTGGGAACTTGCGAGCGAGGTTTTTGATCTCGTCGCTCGAGGAAGCGTAGGCCTCTCGAATGAGGATGACGCTCGATTCGGGGAGGCAACCTTTCTTGCATGCTTCTAAGGTGTCGGCCAGACTTTCGGGAGAGGCGAGGACGAGCTTGACGGGATGGTATTTGTGGACCATGCTCAATTGGTAGGCGAGCTCACCTGCGGTGTAACTGGGGTTTGCGCAAGAGACGATCCCGCCGAGTCGGAAGGTCGCCCATACGCCGGTCGCATAGTCGACCTGCTCGGAGTCCGAGGGGGGAAGCAGAGGCAGACAGACACCTGTGTCAGCACTCGGGAAGGCGCTTCAAAAATGAGATGCCTCCCCGTAAATAGGAAGGCAAGATTTCAAAAGCATAGGTACCAACTCACCTCATTAGGACTGAAGATCACCACTGTATTTCCCTCCTCCAACCCTCTCTTCTTGAACCCCTTGGCGATATCCAACGTCCTCTCATGCGCCTGTTCGTACGTCAACGTCTTGCCCGTCACACTATCGATCAACCACACCGATCCTTCCCTTTCTGTCCTTTGGACCGCTCCCGGTCCAACGGGTTTGAAGACGGGGCCGAAGAGGAAGTCGTAGATGGAGAGGGTGTCGAGGTTGGGTGGGAGCGGAGCATCGGGGAGGGCACTGGTGTAGATGCCGGTTTGGGCGTTGTAAGGCATGGCTATAAAGCGTTTGGGTAGGTGTCAAAGCTCAGCGGGGTGAGATGATCTGTCCGAGCGGGAGGAGGGCGGGAAAGAGAGGTGATGGGCACTAGAGGAAGATCGGCGTGCCCAGTCTGTGGGGCTCAGCCTGGAAGAGCCTGGAGCAGCCTGGCTCAGCTTGCTGCCTGATGCGGGGAAGTCGCTGTTCCCCGGGCCGCGGAGCTTCCGGGCCCCGGGGCTGTGCCGGGGGAAAGACGGCAACGGCAAGACCGAGGCTTCACGGATCTACGTTCTCTCGGCCTCCATTCATATCGAAGCCTCATGAGAGGTACTCGGTCCGATTGCACTTGAAACATTGCATCTGACCCCAACCCCTTTCTACCTGTTCTCAATCTCCCCCAACACGACCTTACACCTCGCCTCCTCGACGCGCTGACCGGCTTCCTTAGCCAGTCTCTTCACCTCGCTCGAGGTCGCCGACGAGAGCTCTTTCGCGAGAGGAGAGTAAAGCTGTCGAGGGCATGGGTGCAAAGTCTGTTGGTCAGTTGTTTCATTTCGTCCTGGGCCTGTCAAAGTACTCACGAGGTTTCCCAAAGCGATCAGAGTACGGTAGATCGTCTCGCCATCCGAATCACGTAAGAGCTATCGTATGCAAGCAGATTCGGACAAAGATGTTCAGTTTGAAAGTCATATTTAGCGCGCGCTGCGAGGGATCTTAGAACTGGCACTCACAGCCGTGATCAAGTTGAGGAGCGGTCGTGCAGCCGCACTTGAAAGGGTCTTTTCGACGGCAAAGATGGAGTAGCTGTTGCAAGCGTAGCATAGACTTGCGACTCGGTAAACGACCAGCCTCAACTGAAGAGGCCTGTTAATTTGAACTCACTTGAGCGCGACCGTGGCCAGCGCGATCTTGCCATTCTTGCTCAGTCCATTCAAAGCACGCTGCGTCAGCGTCAACAGAATCTGTTCACCAAGCAGAAATATAAAAATCAGCCCACGATCCTAACCATCCCAATTCAAACTGGATACCTTCTCGGGACGCCACCGCGCTCACCTCTACAGCTTGATCCCTCATCACCTCCTTCCCCTTCTGCGGCAAGAAAGAATTGGCCAAGGCGCGATACCCCAACATTGTATTCGTCTCTTGTTCCTTCACAGGACCGGACGTATCCCTGATCGTCTCCAACACGTCCGGCAAGGCCTCTACGAGAGGTGTTGAGAGGCTGACGAGACGGACGAGGTCCAGACCTGGGAATCGTTGCGCCGAAGGCCATGAAAGCAATTTGAGGATGACGGCTTGTTCGGCTTCTCCGATCGGTTGGCTCGGCTTAAGGGACCCAAGAGCAACGAGAAGGTATGCGATGAGGTTGTCCAATGAGGTCAATTCGGTCGAAGAGAGGGCTTTGGAGGAGGTAGTTCCATCAGCGGCGATTTGGTCGTTTAACTGTCCGAGTTTGGAACGAAGGGCCGCGAGGTTGGCTTGAGGGAAAGTCAAGAACGAACGATGAGGGAGCAAAGTCGGCGTCGTGGGTGCCGCAGCAGGCATAGTTCTCCCTCCACCGGTGTATGGATCTCCCGAAAACCCTCCCAACAAAGCAGCACCACCCGATCCGGATCCTGTCGCGACCCCACCTCCAGTATACCTCGATGCCCCCGTATAAGGATCGACGTACTCGTTCGTCCCCTGGCCCAACGTAGCAGCCGGTCCAATATTCTTATCAATGAACGCAACGACCTGTTCGGTGTATTCCAACGGCAACTCGTGCTTGATCAAGAATTTTTGCGCCGCGTCATAGGCGTTTTGACCATTGTTGTAAGGGAGTTTGAGTTTGAGTGCGCCGTCGGCAAAGTCGACGTCGAAGACGTAGTCGTATTCGACACCTTCGTACATTTGTTTTTGGGCTTGCGAGACACCACCGGTGACTTCGCCGATCTTGGTCCAAGTGCCGGTCGCATTGGACCACTGTTTACATGAAGATGGTTGAGGATCAGTCTTGATCCACCCCAGCGATTCTGTTTGGCCACTTACCGAATGAGCTTCGACCGTTCCACTGGGTGCTTTGATCATGATGACTTGACCATCCTTGCGCCCAGGCGAGCCCAACGCTTCCAAACCCGGCAAGTTGTCCTTTTTGATGTCCCCAATTTGTGAGCTGAAGCCGCAAGTCAAAGCACAACCCCGTCAGCTTCTTCTCCACCTTGGGCAGAGATTTGTTAGAAAGATACCTACGAGTTGACAGCGGCTTTCGAAACAGCATCGTCAAAGCTCTGCGAAGGACGTCGACCCAGTCAGTGAGAGTCACAGGCCAGAGAAGATCACTAAAGAGCCCCGCGGGTCCTCCTGACCTTGAGCGTCTCTGCGTCCGCGACGCGTTCTTCATTCCTAGTAAAAACTCGAACGAGTCCATCCGAGGAACCAGCAGCGATGTCACCATCGGGGAGTACTTCAACGGTCCAGACTGCGCACAAAGGCAGATCAATGCCGGTATCAACCACGGCTCAAGGGAGGGAACGAGCGCACCGCGGCAGGAGCTCACCTGATACAGCAGGAATGACGATTGTTTGCTCGCAGTGCCCATCAGTTGCTGTGAGCCATCCTCGTTAAAATCAGCATAATGCGATACTATATCATACTCCGAGCGGATCTTGAGAAAGGGCCCACCTCTCCAGACCCTCATCGTTCGATCCTCCCCACCGCTGATCAAACCTCCTCCGACCTCATCAGGGATAGGGGACAGAGAGTAGATGAAGGAGTCATGACCGTAGAGAGTATGGACGGTTTCTCCGGACGTGAGGGACCATAAGCGGATCGAACTGCGGCCCGATCGGGAATGCGTTAGATCTCCTCGACCTTTGAACCACAGTTCTAGTTCCTACTCACGCATCATTGCCCGCACTAGCGAACAGATCGCCTCCTCCCGTTGTCGAGCTCAAGCGCGCCAACGCACGGACAGCTTGCGTATGTCCTCGGTACGTTCGGATCGCTTTCGATCCCTTCCATAGTTTGACGAGGTTGTCCGCGGCGCCTGGAATCCAGAAATGACGTTGCTTTAATTCACAGAGCTATGACATTCTCCATCAGAGAGCGCTTGTCACTAACCGGTCAAGACGAGATCATCCCCGTCTCCTTCGAGGGCCAACACGGCCCAAACGGACTGCTCGTGGCCTTGCAACGTGTACGCCAATTGAAAATCCTTCCATACCTTGGCTGTCCTGTTTTCGCGCGCGATTCCAAACCTCGAACGATCAACAACTCGACCCTTCCACGAAATAAAGTCCTCTGATTACAGACTTACTTGTCCCAACTGCCACTGATCAACCTCTTACCATCATCCGAAGCGGCCAAGGCGCAGACGTTATTCTCATGACCGATCAAAGTGAATTCGGGACTGAGCTCCTTCGAAGTGGTCGAGCGGTTGGAAGAGGAAGGTACGGGCCATACGTGGATGAGTTTGTCTTGGCCTGCTGTGGCGAGGTAGTCTGTTCCAAAGGGAGGGACGATGATCCTTGGTTCAGTCAGTCCTGAACCGTGCAGTAACCCACCGACCCTCGTCTCGAGCGCGATCATGTCGAGCCAATGCATCCCTGAACTGACCCCTGCCATCAAGCTTGAACCACTGCACAGCATTAACGAATCCCTGATGATGTCCCTCGAACACCACACCCTCTTTCCACGGACCTCCGTTCCCCGTTTCGGTCAAGGTCTCGGTCGATGACGAATCGATTTGCATCCCTTCGGTTGAAGAGGAGGTGCGCGTCCATGATCGGGCTGTACCGTCCCGGGAGGAGGAGAAGAGGATTGTATAGGGCTTGGTGGAGGTGGTGCTCGTTAGGGAGCGGACTGGGTAGTGTGGATCGAGAGGTGTTCGTCGGGTAGTTCCAAGTGGGGGCGAAAGGGGCGATGACGACGCGTGGGGGGGAGGCAGAACAGCGAAGGGAAGTGTGTTGAGCGGGGTCAGCTGTTACTCTCATGTAGCAAGAGCCCTAGTTCTCCGTTGTCGAAACTTGCCATCTTGTGAATGCCCCGCCAACGTAGCCGACAGGCGAAACGGCTTCGACGCGGACGACATTGCCAATCAGGCGCTCGGGTACAAGTCAGGTGTAACGACTGGAGCAACGAGTGCGCAGCGAGGAGTGAAGACAGAATCGCAAAGTAGTGGCCAACGTGGGTCGATGACGTGACGTGGACTGGTTGTGCGACGCTTGGTTGGTCGGAGGAGCGAAGCCAGAACGGGCACCCCGGCTTAGGATCCGACGTGTCGTCGTCAGCTGTCCCCAGCCGGCAACGTCATTCACTGTTATCTTTCCTCGCCCATGCGCAGAAGTTTGCACCACCAAAAAGATTGGCGTGTTCCAATATTGCGTCTCTCTATCATTCCAAAAACCTCTAATCTTGTTCAATCCTTTTTTACAACAACGACCACGACGCACACGTCATCGATTTTGCCCCCTCTCAAATCGTTGTAGCCATACCGTCTTGCTTCAATCTCAAACGGCGAGATTTTGTTCTCCTAACCAACATCCACACGAGAAGGGAACCATCAGCTTGAATTCGGCTCTGAGGGTTTTGGAGTTCCCAAGTTCGTACGCAACTGACCTTGAAAGCGCAAGTGTTTGCAAAGTTGACGCACGCGTTGGCTAAACCTTGCGCAAAAGTCATCGGAACCTTATTAGGGCCTGTATCTTTGGCCGAATCTTCATTCGAACCAAAGGGGGAAAGTTCATGTTCGTGCTCTTGAACGAGTGCGACGAGTTGTTCGAGTTCATTCGGCCATACGTTATCGCTGAACCCATCGGTCGCCAAGACGAGGATATCACCGTCCCTGATGTGCGAGATGCCAAAGCCAAGAAGATCTCAGACTTCACACTCGAACCACCGAACACCTAGAAAGGAATCCCTGCTCACTGTAAAACCGTCTGGTACAAATCCGCCCCTTCGGGCACATCGATCAACGCGTGCTTGTTGTGCATCCATTTCGGCCTCTTGGCCAACTGCTTCGGCGCGTTGAAGAAGTGGGTTTGCGAGGCTTGCAGGTACACGACTTTATGCGTCAAGAGGGATCGAATGTCGATATCTTCTGACGTTGGTGGAGATGGCGAGGAACGGCTTGTTGTTGGAGCTGGAGTGGGTGATGTGGGTGGTCTCCTTCGCAGGAGCAAAAAGGTGGAGTCGCCGAGACTGCGAGGGAGCCAAAAAGGGGAAAATTCAGCCAACGGTGACGGAATTGATGGATTCTTGCCTCTTTTGCACCCACTTGGCGGCGAGTACATTCCCAGTTTCGGCGTCGAACGAAACGACACAAGCGGTACTAGAACCTGGGAGAGTGGGATCGCTCGTCGTCAGCTATGGTCCGCAAATCCTTCAACTCGGTCGTCGACGCCTCAACTCGTTTTGCTTACCTGCAAGCACCCCCTTTTCTTGCAAAAGAGCGGCATACGCATTCTGAATTACCCTTAGCGGATCCTTGTGCCCATTTTGAGCGACCTCTTGTCGACAGAACCACATCAAAGTCTGCGCTCCGCAGGGGTAAGGGAAAGTGCGAATGAGCCGGGGCCCGCTTGGCGCACATCACCCCTTTTCAAATGCCAAACTTGCCTGGGCAAAGAGACTCGGATCGACGCCTAAATCGACCCAACCTCCCACCCCGTCCGCAACGCCAATGACCAAATCCTTCCTCGCTGAAGAGGATGATGAGCTCTCCTCCAAAGCGTCCGTCGGTCTTTGAACCTCTTGGACAAAGAACCAGTCATGCCCCGCACCGCAGGGGGAGCGACTCCATACCGCATCCCTCCATACCATAGCCGGGTGATGGGCGTCCAACCCTTGTTGTAAACGTGGTGTGGCGCTACGGTTCCGCCAATCGGGTCGGGTGAAGGTCGATTGATCTGAAGCTGGGTCTGAATCGGACGAGGACGGGTCGCTGTCTAGACCTGCGTCGGTCGAGGATCCATGTGCTGGGCTCGAAGTGAGACCGTCGGTTCCTCGGGAGGAAAAAGTCGGGGAACCAGGCTTGCCCTTGAACGCATACGCCGTTTCGAAACGATAGCGTCGCACCGCACGCGAAGGAACGAAGGCGGATCCAAGTGGGGTAGATGAGAAGGGACGAGATCGGAACACGACAACGGACGATTGCGAGATGAGATTTGTGAGCCGATGCACGATCGAGGCTGACGACGATCGGGTTGATTGGAGGAGCATGATGTGGGAGGACGCTCCCTGGGTCGCCGGTGAGTCGATATGCGAGGAGAATGAACGCCTGCGAAGAAGGGAAAGGAGAGAGAGAGAAGAGGAGTGCCTACCCCACGGGTCCGATTTCGGCTTCGGCTTCGGCTTCGGCTTCGGCTTCGGGGCGTGCGCAGGAGACTGGAGTGCGCAGGGCGATCACTGTCTCGATCACTCTGATGAAATCACCCGGATGACATTCCTGATCGCATGATTGCACCTCCTCCGCTCCCTCACGACGCACGCTCGACTGAGGCCAACTGCAGTGCGCCGCGCTCGAAAGCTGAGGATCACTGCGGTCGCAGAGCCAGGGCTAGCCAGGGTGACCAAAACACGTGATATCCTAGGCGCGGAAGCTTCTTCCTCTTCTCTCCGGGTTCCCCGCTCTCGCAACGGATCACACCACGAGGACATCTTGCGCATCGGTTCTGTACGATCATCGCACTTCTCCGGCCACTGCGGACCATCACCGACCGATCATCTTGCCATCGACTCGCGACTCCAGGGAGCAGGAACGGAACCCTTCATCTACTCCACCCCACCTGCCAAGTGCCACCCCGAACGGCTCCTCGATCTCGCTCACGATCACGCTCACGCTCACGCTCACGATCCGTCCGGAAGCCCCTATCGGTCACCTACGAGTCCGGCCACGACAAGCTACTAGAGAGTAGACCTAGCTCCACCTTTTCTCTCTTGCCGAAGCAATTGGTCACGTAGATCGTTCCGAATCACACCGACACGATGCAGTTCGTTCCCCCCGTGGACGCCGCCCCACTTGCCTCGGCAGCCACGAAGAGTTCGAGATCGACTCCACCCCTCGCTTCGACCAGTAGGCTCGTGGTGCCTCCCGCTTGCTCCACCTCTCCACAGAGCTCTCCACCTTCGCCTGCCTACCGCATCGGCGACAGCAACATCAAGAAGAGGGAACGACCCGGTCTCAGCTCATCCTCAGCGACGTCCTTGCCCCCTCGCTACGAACGACCCGAGTCACTCGAGAGGCCTAACCCCGCTTCTGCAAGCGATCATCCGTCCAACGGCTCACTCGAACCAGACACAGACGGCGAAGAGCAAGAGCAGGACGATGCCGACGCCAATACCCACGATCGAAACAGCAGTCTCGATAAGAAAAGATCCGTCCCACCCAAGCCCCGTGGTGGAGCGAGGGCCGGCATCGCCTGTGTCACCTGCAGGTCAGTCCAGATGGCTAGCTTGTATGCAAGATGTCATCGCTGACTCTCGATCCAACACCTCAACAGGAAGAGAAAGATCCGATGTTCGGCCGAATGGCCAAAGTGTGCTTTTTGTTCGAGAAAGAAGCTGGCGTGCGAATACCACGGTCATCCCGCAGAAACGGGTGGACCGTTAATGACCATCGCACCGGGGTCAGTCTCCAGACCATCGGCTAGAAACAATCGTTTCGGCCCCACGTCCTGAACAAAGATATACTGACCTTGAGTTGCTCGTCGTTTTCGTAGACCGGCGCCGATACCCTTGCAAGGTCAGGATATTTTGCCGTCCAAAGAGATTATGCTCGAGGCTCTGGAGCCTTTCTTTGCGCACTAGTACGTTCATCCGGGTGTACCGCTCAAGTCTCACCACAATGGATGCTGACGCAAATTCTTTGCGCAAAGTTCAGCTACGACACATTCTACTTTCTGCATCGGCCGACCTTGACCGAAGCGATCAGGCGCGGCATCGAACCGAATGCAGACGGGCTCATGTGCTGCGTCTTGGCGTTCGCTGCTCGGTCAGTCCCGGTTCGCATGTGTTCAGTAAAAGAGTATTCCTGTATTGAAGCCTCCGTCGCAATGTCAGATTTTGCGTCACATTACAAGCGCTCTATCCTTCGTCGCCCTCGGCCGCATCGGAACATTTCTGCTCGTTGGCCTCGCAAATCTTATCCCATCCTCCACCACCTCGGAACGATCATGATGGCACACATCACGCGACTCGCAATGCTTCGACAGGAGATGGGGAGATCTCCTTGATTCGGTGTCAGGCGTTCCTTATGCTCGGATTATACGAATGCACGGAAGGACACGAGAACAAAGGCTGGCTCAAGATTGGAGCTGCCATACGTTTGGCCCAAGTAATGAAACTAGGTGCGTCAAAAGACATGGCTCGAGCCTTCCCGTCTATCAGCGAAGCTGACTCTATGTCGGTCCATGCAGGTTTCGAGGACGAAGAGGAAGGTGCGTCCTCGCGCGCTAGGTCGGACCCTTTACTCGCCGAAACGCGTCGACGAACGTTCTGGAGTCTGTTCCTGCTCGATCGAACCGTTTCGGACGGCAAAGAACGACCTTGTTCGCTCAAGGCGCCACTATCAATGATGCTTCGGCTACCAGGCCCGGACCAGGACTTTATTCTTGGTCGACCGACCGCTGGCGCTCGCTTCGAAGCCGATCCAAAACCCTGGAGTTTGAGCGTCAAAGCTACTGAACATGCCGCGAACGATTCGACATCCAACAAGGTCGTCGAGGTTGATTTGTATGGGATGACGTTGAGAGTCGCCGAGATTTGGCAACAGGTTGTCACGTACGTTGGTTCGGGTGGGAGGAACATTGATCGAAGACCGCCTTGGATGCCCGAATCGACGTTCGCGGACCTGCAACGGAAGTTGTCTGGTTTCGGGGCGCAACTGAGTCCACAATTGCAAGCGACGAGGGAGAATTTGCTCGCGTACACGCTGTCGAACCAAGGACGGCTCTTTGGAATGTTGCACATCCTCTACTCGACGGCGAGGTTGGTCCTGCATCGCGACTACCTTCCCTTCCTACCCCCTGTCGACTACCTCGCTTCCTCCGGACCCGCCGATGGTGAACCCCTCTATGGGTCCCCCAACGTCGTCGCGCCCGAAGGCTGGTGGTCCTCCTCTTTCGAAGCCGCGATCAAAGCCTCCCAAACGATCATCCAAGTCCAAACTCACCTCTTGACGCACCACCAAACCCTCACGCACCCCTTCGCCGGCTTCGCGGCCTTGACAACGGGTACGATCATGCTCCACCTCAAATATTGGCCGCAAAATCGATCTACCGAGATTCTGAGCGTTCGAGAAGTGCACGAAACGATCGAAGCGACGACGACGATCTTGGCTGCTTTGAAGGACGTGTACCCCGTTGGTGCGCATTGGTGTGACGGCTTGGCCAAGTTACAATTACTGTATTCGAACCATGTGAGGGGGGTATTGGCAATTTCGGATCCGACCAAGGTTAGGGCCGGAGTGATCAAGATGTTGAGGACGGCCAAGGAGGAAGGGACGCAGCCGGAGACGACGGCGGCTACTCCGGGTGGTTCGGGCGGCTCGACGGGGAACAAGGGAAGTTTATCCAAGGGGATGACGAACGAGAAGAAGCGCAAGAGGGTCAAGCAGGATGGTGGGTCGAGTATCGGAGGTACGAACCCAACGATGAAATCTACGAACAACCAAAGCACACCGACTTCGACGACGTCACCTACGACGACCACCTCCTGCACGTCCCCCGACGGAGCCAACGCTTCAGCCTCCACGACCCCTTTGACCACCTCGAAGGAACTCCCTCATCTTTCGCTGACGAACCCGAACGATCCGTCCTACTTTGACCCCAACAACGACCTCTTCTCGCATCTAGACCTGCACTCGCAATTCGACCTCACCCCACCCGCCAACATGCACGCAGGTCCTTACCTCCTCCATCCTCATCACCCAAATGGGCTCCATCCCTCCACCCACGAAGGCCACGCCGATGACCCGAATTCAACGACGACGACGAGTCATGATTTCTGGTCCCATCCGGCCACTTTCGGTGGCTGGGGATTAGGGTGGAATGGATTCGGTCTGATGAGTTCGTTCGATACTTCGCCTTGGTCGGTTGATTGGGGTGGGATAGGCGCGAGTGCGCCACCACCTACCACTGTACCGGCGAGTTTGGAATCGCCTGGATCGACTCGTCAGCAGGGTGCGGCGCAGGCTGCTCCACCGCCTCCTTCAGGGGTGGGGGTTGGTTTTGGGTATTATTGAGTAGGAGGGACTATATGGAACGGATTGCATGGTATGGAGGAGGGAAGGACGTGATCTTTATACTGTCTGTTCCAGAATTGGTTAGGCCTGCCAAGCCCGCGAGATCGAACTTGGGGGGTCTTTTCCTCACCTTTGGCTCTGAAGACAACAGGTCGGGCAGGGGCGGAATCGGAGAGCAGTTTCCCCCATGCCGATCGGTCATGCAAGTGGATCAAATTTTCGCCACTGGGCGAGTCGCCTACTCCCGCATGGCGGTTGGCGCCAGGTTCTCGAGGGTCCTTATGGTAGAAAAGTTTGATTTTAATGATCTCAATCCGCCCTTCGTAATCTGTACCCAGGAATAACATACGAACATGCCAAACATTGCGAAAACGATGCGAGATACGAAACATGCGATTGAAGACCCAGCCGAAGCCATGAACGTTCAGGTACCTCCTCTCACCATCTTACTCAACGGTCATTTCCTCCTCCACCACTTTTGCCTTCTGCGCCCACTTCATCAACGCCTGTACTCCTGTTGGTTCTTCATCAAATTCGATCACCATACTCTCGCCCTTACCCATTCTCTCCGCTTTCGACTCGCTCTGGGCCATAGTAGCAGCAGCTGGAACCCATCCAACCAATGGCGTTGGACCACTTTCGTACCTCGCGTCATTGAGATAGAACAACACTCCATCCCATTTCGATTTCGAACAAGGTCCTCGATCCAACGTTGACGAATTCGTTGAGAACGCCGTAACGAGCCAATACGCCAAAGCCGACGGGGTTAATAAAGGTGCGTCCAAGCAGGGGACGGGAAGAAGTTGTGTCGAGTTCGAGTTTAGATTGGCGGTCATGGCGGGTTCAAGTTCGGAGAGTCGAGATTGAAGGAACCATTTTCTGGGTTGGGGATTGAAACGGACAGGACTCAACGATGAATCAAGGCTGGGGTTCACTTCTCTCGTGAATCTAGGACCGGCTCGTAAAGGGACTTACCTGAATACGTGCTCGTGATCGACGTAGTACACGCCAGTCCATTTGATGAGGTCCAGAACCCAGAGTGCGTTGATTGTGGAATCATAGATGGTGTCAAGGAAGCAATCGGGAGGAAGAGCAGGAACGTAGATGCGGGACAAAGTTCGACTGTGGAGGAGTTTGCGGCGTCTTGTATAAGCAAGTTTCTGGGGCCAATTGGGGTGTACAACACCAAAACATGTTTTTGGAGCTGACCCAGAAACGCGAGAGTAGAGGATCGCGTTACTGCCATCTGGGGGTGGGGAACAGGTCTAACCTTGGGATCAGCACGTCTCATGAGATGAAAAATCTGCCCACGAGCAAGGGAACTGACTGGCTATATGGGTTGTCGCGCACAGACATCTACCAAGACGACCATTTCAAGAAACCATTCACTGCCATTCAACGGTCCAGTTCACAGTCCCAGCTCCGCTCGACGTCCACTCACCTCTTTCCAACCGGACAGAGTTTGAGACTCCATGCACCCATCCAGAACGCTTCCGGTAACCCATGCTCAAGATCGAGCGTCTCGGCATGCGTCAAGAGATTGCTCGCCCAGGGTTTGTACACCTGCTTCGTGGAGCGACGACGACGACGGTTTTGCTGCAACTTGGGTTGGGGAGTTGACGACGGAATGCTGGCACTGGTCGGTGACGGTCCGCCTGCACTCGGATTAGCTTCCGCGACGATGGTCATCTCGCCCTCTGGTTCCGATCCATGCTCTGACGCATCGTCGTATTGCGCAGCACTCGTTGCTGAGCCTAGGTAAAGGTATTCGACCGAATCCAAGTCGATGGGATCTGTGTACAGGTGGGAACGACGCGCTCGTTCAAACGCATGCGTTCGTCGCTGTCAAAGGTGGGACGGGTGGGTGAGAAAAGCACACACACGGACAGCTCAGTCTGGATATGTCCGGATCGTTTAGCAATAGCTGCTGATTCGGAACTCGCTGCGAACGAGCTGAAGGGGCGTGATCGAGCGACTGACTGGCGTGCGAGCTCCACAAGTGGGGGGGAGAAGCGATCGAGTCTTTGCCCATCATTGCAGCTATTTGAGCGCACACACATGGGCGTGCAGAACACAGAGACATGTACCGAGGGTACTGACCTGTTTTTGCAACTCGAGCGCCTCTTTCCTTCTCCTCTCGTGACGAGCGGCCGGGTTCAATACACCGGAAGGTGGGGCGTGCACGTGTACGAGATGCCGAAACGACGGTGGCGATCGACTCGCACTGCGCGACGAGGGGTCCATCACTTGAGCCTACTGGGACCGGCGATGTTCGCTTGAACTCGATCTTTGTCTCCGGCGATCAAGGTCGAGCACTGGGATTGATGGCCTTCCAACTGGTGCGGAGCCAATCGACGGGCCGTGACCGCACTCCGAGTCGACTCGGAGAGCTTTCAAGTTCGTCTTCCGGCGCGTTCAAGTTGTTCTTTCTCATCCCTCCAGAGTGTTTTCATTTACTGACGCGTTCAGTTTTCGTGATCGTACCTGACAAGGCGTGAGCCGATACTATATACCCGGACCGGCATTATTGAGCTGCCGAATTGATTTTTTCGGGTCAACGAATCTGTTTCAAACAGCAGTACTATTCCAACGTAGCTTGTTCGGTATTACTTTTTTTTATTCTGCTTAGCCTCTTTTGCTCTTCTCTTTGAACGACGAGATAAATCTTGCCTCCATTCGTAGGTGTCTGCCATCGAGGAGCTTTCCTCTTTATTTCGGCAGAACCCCCCGGCCGCGCAGGCTCGATCTGACCAAAGAGCGGGCTTCCCTCTTGCCCCCCCACACCAAGGCCCACGCCCCACGCCCTCAGCTGACGATCCCGCAACAATCCGTACCCACCACCACGCGCCCAACGTCTGCCCGCCCCAAAACGAACATGTCCTCCCCAGCTCAAGAAGTCGACCGCTCCGCTCCAACGCCCCTCGGCACGCCCTCCTCGTTCCTGCAAACGGTCGTCGGCAACCGCGTTCTCGTCCGACTCAACTCGGGCGTTTCCTACCACGGGATCCTCAATTGTTTGGACGGCTACATGAACATCGCGCTGGAGAATACGGAGGAATGGGTAGGGGGGAGGAAGACGAACGAGTTTGGGGATGCTTTCGTTAGAGGGAATAATGGTAGGTTCAGCTCCTTCCTTCTTCTGCTGCTGCTGCTGCTGCTGCTGCTGCTGCTGCTGCTGCTTTTGGAGGCGTGTGCGGTGTGCGAGTGCGGTGTTGATTGTATTGGGTTGGTGTGGCGCAGTGCTGTATATTTCAAAGATGGATTAAGCGGGGCGAACCCAGGACGAGCATCCGTACCGAGAGTGATGGCGACGAGGACGACGAAGTGGCACGGCGACACGACGTACTGCCAACACTCGAGGCGTGATCCAAGTACAGGGAATTAAAAGGACGTGATAAGAAGACTACGGGTACTACCAGTGTAACTGATGTAATAGCAGACGGATGGGAGTTGGGTAAGCATGATGTTGCGAAAGCGGGCCGGTCATGGGTGTCAGCGGGAACGGGAGAGCGCATGTCTATGATTCCACAACCAACACCCTCTGGGTTCTGGACCTCGTCCAACGGACTGGCGTGTACTACGTCGATCACGAGCACTGTATTCAGGTAAGTCCGTCTACGAAACGGTCCTAGATCACGAGAGAAGTGAGCCCCAGACTGTGATCGTTGAGCCTTGTCCGCTTCGATCTAACCCAGAAAATGGTTCGTTCTATCTCGACTCTCCGAACTTGAACCCGACTGAAGTTCTCCCCGTCCCTACCTGGGACGGACCTGTCCGACCGAGAGTGTGGGAGGAGCGAGACCCATGCCACGACCTGCGGGTGCTCCGACGCCGGGTCCCATACCGATCTGTGATGAAGCCCACATTGTCAGCGCCGTAAGATCGCATACAGCTGAACCCGCCCGATCGAAAGCCTACCCGGGGACCGGATCGTTGTTCCTCTTGAACGGGCGGTGGTCCCTGCACGCTGAGGGTGACGATCGTTTCGCCCCTGAGGATGACCAAGCCCAAGGTCCTCTTCATCTCGTCCTCTCCGTCGTCCTCATCCTCGATCGTCACACCCGGTACGGCGGCCGCTTTACAAGTCGACGATTTGACCCGACGGAACTCTTCGCATTCGGCGAGGACGAGGTTCATGTACTTGTCAAAGGCGAGCAGTTGGCCGATGAGCGTGCGCGTGTCGTTGAGGGTCACCTTGACGCGGTAGTTGATGATCGACGCGAGCTTGCCGCCTTTTTTGGAGGACTGTTGTTGAGCGTGGTTGGGGTGGTGAGGGTGTGTGTGTGTGTGTGTGTTGTGGGAAGGAATGGTGGTGGACGGTCAAAGGAGGCGAAGTGCGAGGGCAAAGTCACGCGGCCACAGAGAGAGAGAGAGAGAGAGAGCACATGCAAAGGCAAAGACACACTAAAGGCTTAGCCAACGTTCACGACACCCGAGTCAAAATTATGCTTGCGTTGACTTGCCATGATCAAGTTGGGGGTGTATGGGGGTACGGTCGCGGTCGCGGTCGCGGTTGCGGTTGCGGTCAGGGCGGAGAGAGCTAGAGCAGGCTAGAGCTGGTGCGCCAGAGCTGCCCCGCTACGCCCCGCACGCCCTTCTAAACGCACCATTACAAAACCCGACCAGACCCGAGGCGCGAATGAAATGAAATGCAAAAGGGAAGGTCAGGTCCCCGAAGCCGAAGCCGAAGCAGGAGCACCCACCCGTCGACGACGATCGACTCGGTCTTGGGCTCAAACACCTCCTCCCCCTCTCCGTCTCAGCCTCGACATCGTCACTCACACTTCACTCGATCACCTCCTTGTCTTCTTCACCCAGCCCCCTTCTTCAGTCGCGTTCGTAGACGTAGATCCGTTCACTGCGACTGTGCCCCCCCGTCCGCCTTCCTCCTCGTCCTCGTCAGCAACGATGGCCGCCAATGCTGCCCTTCCGAAACGGATCATAAAGGTGAGCTTCAACTCGTGTTCTCCGGGCCATTTCGAGGTCTATAGCGCTCTTGGCCCCCTCCCCCCGCAGCTGTCTCGCTCACACGAGCACAGCTCGGCGCGGTTCGTCATCATCCGTCCTCGGCCGCGTCCCAGCTCGCGTCCCTTCAACAGTGAAGGCGTTCTTCCCCAACAGGGTCCCCAACTCAGCCAGAGTTCTACTCGCAGCACGAGCCATCGAATAGATCATCCTTCCAAGCACGTACTGAGCCCCCCCCCCCCCTTCCCCTGCGCTGACACAGGAAACGCAACGCTTGATCGCCGACAGCCCACCTGGGATCTCGGCCGTACCCCACGACGACAACCTGCGGTACTTTGACGTGCTCGTCTCGGGGCCCGAGGGGTCACCTTTCGAGGGTCAGTTCGCCGCATGCCGCAGCTTGTGGTGCGGCTGGTGGGTGCTGAGATTCCCACGGGTTTGCTCACAGGCGGCGTGTTCAAGCTCGAGCTGTTCCTGCCCGAAGAGTACCCCATGGCCCCTCCCAAAGTCCGCTTCCTCACCAAACTCTACCACCCCAACATTGGCAAGTCCCTTTCCCCCGGCTGGATCTCGATCCCCTTCGCTCTCCGATCCTGACCGATGATCACTCTCGCCACACCCCACAGACAAACTGGGGCGCATCTGCCTCGACATCCTCAAGGACAAGTGGTCCCCCGCGCTGCAGATCCGTACCGTGCTCCTGTCCGTCCAAGCGCTCTTGTCCGCTCCGAATCCAGTAAGCCGACAAGACCCCAGGTGTCGAACAAGCTTTCGATCGGATCTAAACTGAGGAATGATCTCTCTCTCTCTCTCTCTCTCTCGTTCTTTCTCAGGACGACCCGTTGGCGAACGACGTCGCGGCGCACTGGAAGGAGAATGAGAAGGACGCGATGAGGGTCAGCAGGGAATGGACCCACAAGTACGCGTCGGCTTAGGCGAGTGAATCGTACCAAGAGCAGCCACGACAAGTTTTGATCCACGGCGGGGGTGGTCACGCGGGAGGGATGGGTACGGTGTTCTTTCGTGCGACGAGTTGGGGGAACGGTTACTGAGATCGATCGTGGGGAGCGTCCTCCCCCCGAGATGAAGCGAATGTTTCGCATTTTGCTTTGTTGCGCATAGCCTCCTTATCGTACCCTACATGGACATTCAACTTCTTGTGAGATTCTCGTCAATCCCCAGCGTTCGCTCCAGAGAACGCCGTTGTCTGATTCTCCACCCTCCCACATCTCTCTGTCTTTGAAGGCTTCTTCCTGGTCTACATCCTGTCGTTTGGTTTTTGTCTTTCGTCTGCTCTTTTTCTCTTCTTTTTTTTTTTGCGTGTAAGAGCATACCTTTCCCTTTCGATTCAATCTTTCAATCTCCAGTCCTCTTGACCCCAGAGTGGCGTCGTCGACGAGGTCCGTGCGCGAGAAGAGACAGAAAGGCAAAGCCGCGCACGGCTGTCCTGCCTTGCGCCCGTCAGCTCGCGCGATCGGTTCGGCTTTCGACTGCTCAGCTCACACCAATCCCTTACTGGTCATCTCCAAGCTTCTCCGTGAGACAAAACACCTTTTGCACCTACACACTCTCGGATCGCGTGGACCACACGTCTCGCGTCCAAGTCATCAGTCATCGAAACGCCATCCGCCCCATCCACACCCGACGAGGAGCAACCCAACACACACCGAGTCATCCCCCCCCCCCCCCTCAATTTCAGCCCCGTGACGAGTCAGCGATCATGGCCGATTTGGAACAGTTGGAGTTGTTATCACTCGTCTCGGCCGTGTCGAGGGAATTGGTCAATCATACCGGCTTGGCGGGTACGTTTCCTTCTCACTCTTCTGTTCGGGAACGACTCCACTCCTCGGATACGACGACTGAACCCTCCCCCCCCTTCCCCTCCCCTCCCTTGAACACGACGATCCCAATCCCGTCTAGATACGACCCTAGCCGAATTCCTGATCCACCTTCACACCCAAGCCAAAACCTTCGACGATTTCAAAACGTCGGTCGTTCAAGTCGGTGCGAGTTTCCCCGATTCGTTCCTCCAGGCCGTAGATCGTTTGGTGCTGTCGATGCATCCCAAGTACAAGAAGAAGGCTGAGAAGGGGAAGAAGAAGAAAGTCGGTAAGAAGGGTTTGGAGCGGGGGAGGGGGGATGGGGTCGTCGTGGTGGATGAGGAGAAGGAACGTCAGATCAAGTTGTTCCCCGGCTTGGCCGTCAAGGATGTGGAATGGAAGTCCGCGGCGCAGATCGCTCAAGAGGAGGCGGACGAAAAAAGGCAAAAGGCGTTGGAGGCGGCCGGGAGTAAGACCAGCGTGCCTGCACCGGGCCAAGAGGACGTCGATGATTTGTTCAAGCAGTTGGAAGGCGTCAAGAAGCGCGTGGCGGCGAGTGGCGACGACGAGGCGTCTTCTTCTTCGACGGGCAGGCACGAGCAGGACTCGGGCGGATACAAGAGGAGACGATCGAGGTCACCCGAGGATAACGATCAGCACCAGCACAGGAGGAGGGGGAGATCACCGGACTATGGACGACGCAGCGGAGGTACCAACGAGAGGGAGAACGCGTGGGGTGATCGAAGGGGACGACCCTCCGAACCGGCACCTTATGACTCGCGCACGATGGGCGCTCCTCCCCGTCGCAACCGCCTCGACGAGAAACCGGTACTGTACAAGATCTACCCTGGAAAAGTATCGAACCTCAAGGATTTTGGCGCCTTCGTCTCATTGGAAGGTATCGTCGGTCGCGTCGAAGGGATGGTCCATGTCGGGATGATGTCGACGCAACGCATCACCCACCCTTCGGATCTTCTCTCGCGTGGTCAACCCGTCTTTGTCAAAGTCATGTCCATCACCGGTGGACGTTTGTCGCTTTCGATGAAGGACGCCGACCAAAAGACTGGAGCGGATCTAACGCCCCATCTGCGCGTCAAGACGGACGAAGAATTGGCCGAGGAGAGTCGACGTCACGCCGAACGAGCGGCGTCGGGTTCGAACGGCGTTCCGTTGAGAAGGTCGTTCGCGGATGATCATAAGCAATCGTCGGCGAGGAGGATGACCAGTCCTGAACGATGGGAGATCAAGCAATTGATTGCGTCGGGTGCGGCTTCCGCAGCGGATTATCCTGGCTTGGACGAGGATTACAGGAACGACCCCAATGCCGCGTTCGGGAACAATGATCTGACCAACGAGGCCGATGAGGAATTGGATATCGAGATGAACGAGGCCGAAGCTCCCTTTTTGCAAGGGCAGACCAAGAGGGCGCTCGAGTTGTCGCCCGTCAAGATCGTCAAGGCCCCCGATGGGGGATTGAACCGAGCCGCTTTGGCCGGTGCGGCCTTGGCGAAAGAACGACGCGAGTTGAAGGCGCAAGAAGCGGCGGATGCGGCGGATTCCGAGACGCGCGATTTGAATACGCCTTGGCTCGATCCCATGACCGCTCCGCATGATCGAACGTTCGCTGCCGATGCTCGTGGTGCGGCTGCGGGAGCTCATGCACAGAATGTGCCGGCTTGGAAAAAGGCGACGTTCAATCAGGCGACGACGTTCGGTAAGATCACGTCCATGACGATGCAGGAACAGAGGCAGAGTCTGCCCATCTACAAGTTCCGCGACCAATTGATCGAAGCGTTCAGGACCAACCAAGTGCTCGTTGTTGTGGGGGATACCGGATCGGGCAAGACGACGCAGATGACGCAATACCTCGCCGAGGCGGGGTACGCCGACAAGCTCAAGATTGGGTGCACGCAACCTCGTCGTGTCGCCGCGATGTCCGTCGCGAAACGTGTTGCGGAAGAAGTGGGCTGTCGTTTAGGTCAAGAGGTCGGCTACACTATTCGTTTCGAGGATTGCACGAGCCCCGAGACCAAAATCAAGTACATGACCGATGGGATGCTGCAGAGGGAGTGTTTGGTCGATCCGGACATGTCGCAGTATTCGGTGTTGATGCTCGATGAGGCACACGAGAGGACGATCGCGACGGATGTCTTGTTTGGTTTGCTCAAGAGTGAGTGCGGGAGTGTGATCTGATTCTCGGGTAAGTAGCCTGGATGGCTGACGGGAAACGATTTGCACTGCCCACCCAGAATCTCTCAAACGTCGACCTGATTTGAAGGTTATCGTCACCTCGGCGACGCTCGATGCCGAAAAGTTCTCCGAGTACTTTTTCGGTTGCCCCATCTTCACGATTCCCGGTCGCACGTACCCGGTCGAGATCCTCTACACCAAGGAACCCGAATCGGACTACCTTGACGCCTCGCTCATCACGGTCATGCAGATCCATCTGTCCGAACCACCGGGGGACATCCTCTTGTTCTTGACGGGTCAGGAAGAGATTGATACCTCTTGCGAGATTCTCTACGAGCGCATGAAGGCTTTGGGACCGAACGTACCGGATTTGATCATCTTGCCGATTTATTCGGCCTTGCCTTCGGAAATGCAATCCCGCATTTTCGATCCTGCTCCTCCCGGTTCACGCAAGGTCATTCTGGCGACCAACATTGCCGAAACGTCGTTGACGATCGATGGGATCTACTACGTCATCGACCCAGGGTTCGTGAAACAGAACGCGTACGATCCTCGGCTCGGGATGGACTCGCTCATCGTTACGCCCATCTCGCAAGCGCAGGCTCGACAACGTTCAGGACGTGCGGGCAGGACGGGACCGGGTAAATGTTATCGTCTTTACACCGAAGCGGCGTACCGTAACGAGATGTTACCGAACCCGATCCCGGATATCCAGAGGCAGAACTTGGCGCATACGATCTTGATGCTCAAAGCGATGGGGATCAATGATTTGCTCAACTTTGACTTTATGGACGCGCCACCTCAACAAACCATGATCACCGCTTTGGAGAACCTGTATGCGCTTTCGGCGTTGGACGAGGAAGGGCTCTTGACGCGCTTGGGACGCAAAATGGCGGATTTACCGATCGAACCTCCGTTGGCCAAGATGTTGATCGCGTCGGTCGATTTGGAATGTTCGGAAGAAATCCTCACCATCGTCGCCATGTTGTCCGTCGGTGGATCTGTTTTCTACCGCCCCAAGGAGAAACAAGCCCAAGCGGACGCGAAGAAGGCCAAGTTCCATCAACCGGAAGGGGATCATTTGACCTTGTTAACGGTCTACAACGGTTGGGCCGCGAGCAAGTTTTCGAACCCTTGGGCCTCGGAGAATTACGTCCAGGCGAGGTCGTTGAGGCGCGCGCAGGACGTGAGGAAACAGTTGCTCGGGATCATGGATCGGTACAAGCATGACATCCTCTCGTGCGGCAAGAACTACAATCGCGTACGAAGGGCCATCACGTCGGGTTATTTCCGTCATGCGTGCAAGAAGGATCCGCAGGAGGGGTACAAGACGTTGGTCGAAGGGACCCCGGTGTTCTTGCATCCTTCTTCGGCGTTGTTCAATCGCGCACCGGAGTGGTGCGTTTATCACGAGTTGATTTTGACGACGAGGGAGTATATGAGGGAGGTGACGGCGATCGAACCAAAGTGGTTGACTGAGGGTACGTTCAAGTCTGCTCCTTTAAAGTCAACCGATCGAAACTGACGCTCTGAATCTTGATCTCTAGTCGCCCCCTCCTTCTTCAAAGTCGCGGACCAAAACACCATCTCGAAACGCAAGAAGCAAGAGAGGATCCAACCCCTGTTCGACAAGTACGCCGTGCACCAGGACGAATGGAGGCTGTCCAAACTCAAGAGAGCTACGAGGTCGTCGCAGACGTTTGGGTAGGAGGGTATGGGGGGGGGGGTTGCTGTTTGGGTTACGTTGTAGGTGTAGTTGTTTGAGCTGGAACATGTTCGTGGTCAGAAAAGATGGCTGTCGTTCTTCAAAGTCTCGGCAAGAATCTGGGTTCATCTGCATGGTCCGTGCGCGCCTGGGCCTTCCTAATGCGCATGACAGGGCCTTGCAATCAGGTCGTCCCCCCCGCGAAACCGCGAAAATGCGGCCGAGCGACCGACGCCGAGTCGAGAGCACTTTGGCGCTGGCAACCCTTCTCTCTCGCCCCTCCTCCCACCCGACCCCACACACCCCCTCAACCCAGACCAGCATGTAAGCCATCGTCGACGATCACTGGACTTGCCTGGTTCCATGATAGTGGTGACTGTACCCCCGAGGTCGTGGGTCGGTGTGCGCTCCACGCGCTGCCCGTCTCCCGCTCCGACGGCCGTGTCTGTGCAGCACCGCCTTTGGGAGTCGGCTCACGCACCCAAACTCGGCGGACGCACGGCGTGACGCGAGTACGGAGACGTTCCTTGTAGCGGACACGGGGGAAACGGCGTGGAACATTGGGTCGTCGAGTGCTTGCATTCGGGGTGGGGACGAGGGCAAGCTGCAAGCTGCAAGCTGCAAGCTTGGGATCATGTCATGTTCAGCAACGCCCGGCGTCGTTCAAGAGTCGGTTGAGCGTTCCGTCGCGCCACGTCGGGGCCGGGACGAAGGCGCACAGCGCAGGACGACCGCGGTGCATGGCGACATCGCATTCATCGGACAGCTTTCTCATCATGGTCATTTCGCGGCGTATAGTGGTACTGATCCTCGCTTGTCGTTGGTGCAACAGGAGCGAACCCTACGATCCTTATATCCCCGGGGCCGGTGGCAACCCTTCGCGTAAGCTTCGAACCCTTGGCACTCCTCGGCGCCCATCCTAATCTCCCCTCTCACAACCATCGATCCAACACACGACTTTACCTCTTTCATCAACAGACAACCCGGCAGGCACGCCCGCCGCTTCCGGATCGTCCAAGACGGCCGCGATCCAGGCCCAGATCGACGATACGGTCGGCATCATGCGTGAGAACATTACCAAGGTTGCCGAACGGGGCGAACGATTGGACGCGTTGCAGGACAAGACCGGTAGGTGCCCTCGACATCCTCAAGGTCGTTGTCGCGAGTTGGGGAAGCTGATTGGGGTTGGATCGGGCTTTCGGGCGTGCAGACAACTTGGCCCAGTCCGCGCAAGGGTTCAGGAAGGGGGCCAACAGGGTCAGGAAACAAATGGTCAGTTGCTCAGGGCAGGAGGGTCTTCGTTGGTGTTACAGATGACTGACGTTGTGCCTTATCATGCTCCGTCTCAAGTGGTGGTGCGTGGGATGCCAGATCCAGGCCCCCGAATGAACACCCGCTTTGACGCGTGCTGATCACATTTGTCTCGGGGCGCCAATCGAAATGCAGGAAGGACATGAAGATGCGTCTCTTGATCGGTGTTGGAATTGCCGTCCTGGTCGTCATCATCGTTGGTACGTCCGCGCCAGAGAGCGTGCACGCTCCTCGGAAGTGACCCTCGTGAAATTAGCGCTAACCCGCTTCCGCGTCCGTCCCAACGACGCACATCCACCCACCCAGTCCCCATCGTAGTGAAGAAATGAGATGAGGCGCACGACTCGAGCAACAACGAACCCATAGGGCCGAAATTTCCTCCCACCTCCTTGACCACCACGACCACCTCTCCAACAGCAAACTCCTCCAAGACGTCTCGATAGTTCCTCTCAAGCGCCCTCTCCACACCTCCGCTTATCGTCCCCCCCTCCTACTACTCTCAACGTCTCGACCACCTCTTCTTCTCTTCTGTTCTCCCTGGCTCTGAGTCCGTGCACCAATTCATTCGCCCCTACCCACCCTCCACCGCATCTTCACCACAACCTCACCCACCACCACCTACCCACGCTCCTCGTCGACCACCACCATCACGATCGACTACCCACGAACCCCACGTCTGCTTTACTTTTCTCTTTCGAGTGGAGTTCTCCTCCTCCTTTGTGTTATCTCCTTCTGTCCCGCTCTCTTTTCACGGCACACAAATAATACTTTGACCCTTTTTTTCTTTCGACTCTTGATCTCGTTGGGATGGGAGGAGGGAGGATGGGTTCACTCTTTGTGTGTGTGTGAATAGTTTGAATAATGTACCATACATCCACACATACATCTTTGAATTCAAACCTGCTGTTCACTCGTTGGTTGGGCCGGAGTGAGGTGTCGAGAGAGCTCTGGAATAGTAGTTTTCATCCCGCGAATCCCGATGCGGGGCAAATTAACGGGATGTATGTGCTTTCCGGGGAAACGACTTTTAGTCGATGACGAACAAGATCGAACTTGGCGAACACAAGACAGGCTTCTCCGCCGTACCCGTAACTCGCGACTCGCGCTCGGGCCTCCTTTAGACGCGCTGAGCGAATGCTCGTCACCCGTCCTCTTTTTTTCCTCCAACACCTCATTCGACCGCACCTCAAAGCCCCTCAACGATGCCCTCGGACCTACGCCTCCGCCCCAGTCCGCAAGCCGGACCTTCGACCTCCCCCAACCGAGGCTCCACACGTCCGCTCCGCTCCCCCTCCACGCGTCCTCAACCGCGTCCTCGCCGCTCGAACGTCCTCGGCGTCTCCCCTCTCGTCTTATCCTTCTTCCTCTTGCTCTCCCTCTCTTGGTCCTTCATCTCGATTCATTATCACTTGGCGCCTTATTCTTGGTTATCGGATTGGAAACATAGGCACGATAAGATCGTACAACATCGACCGGCGTTCAAGCATGTCGAGAGGTGCGTTTCCATGCGTTTCCCCATCGGATTTCGAGGAGTGAGGAGAGGGTGTTTTGTAAGAAAAAACATGCTGATGTGGTGGTCTCGATGGTAATGAAACAGGTACTCGCCTGAGCATCGCTTCCGACCTGCCGCGAGTCCGGTCATCAAGATCAAGGATCGGAAAGGGAACGTCAAGAAGGTCAAGGGATTGTATCATTGAGGGTGTGAGTGGGGACATGGGGATTTTATTCAAGGTCGTGGGTGTCGCGAAGGAGCGAGGGGATGTTGTGTATTGTTTGTATGATAGCAGGTATTCATAGTCGTCATTCGCATCGTGCAATTCTTCAGTCGCTTTCGTTTCCTTCAACTCTCGAGAATGCCTCTCAAGAACAAGCAGCTATGACTACACGTTACACAGTACATTCCCATACATCCGCTACTCTTCCTCCTTACTTTTTCGCAGTCAAAGCACTCGCGCCGACCTGCTTGACGTGTCCCTTCTTTTGCCCGCCAAGCGCTTCCAAGTCTTGGGCTTTAAAATAGTGCGGTGCAACTGGATGAATGGACATCAGAAGATCATTTGATCAGCTTCCGGTCGAAAAGAGTCGGTAGTGATCCCAAGTTCAAGAACAAGACCACGCACCTTCCAACAACCACTCGCTCTTAATCTCCATCACCTGCCTCGCGTACTCGCGACTCGTCAACACCAACTCGAACCAAACCACGACCTTGGGCGGCGGTTGATGTTGGAACAAACTCGAACTAGGATGAATGTTGACCGTCTGATTGGACTTGATCGTTCGATAAGCGTCGCCGGATCGATTGAGTCGACCCGAGTTTTGAAAGTAACCCGCGCAGATCGCTTTTTGAATGGGGACGATATCGGTTCGGTTCGGATTGGCGTCGACGAAGATCTCGACGCGTTCGCAGAGGCCGACGAGTTGATCCCTGATATCCCTAACGCGCGTAAGCGATTTGATCTGAATGAAATGTTCGTACGTCCACGAGATCGAAAACCCCGATTCTTGCCATTGTTCCCACACGTTCAAGAGCGTGAAATGATCGCCACCCGGTTTGACGAAATTCTGTCGTGCCGTATCCGCCTCCAACTTTTTCTGCTTCGGACGATAGAACAACGATCCGGATTCGGAAAGCATCGAAACGATGGTGAGCACCTCTTCCGTGCAGTTGTATTTCTCACTCGCGAGGATCGATTTGGACATGGCCGGGTCCATGGGGAATTCGGCCATGCGACGACCCAGCTTGGTCAATTCGCCTTTGTCGTTGAAGGCTCCGAGCGCATAAAGGTTGTCCAAGGCTCGAATGAGCGTATCCCCGGGTGGGGGATCAAGGAAATCGAAGCCGATGAGATCGTTGATACCCAGGGATTTGAGCATCAACACCACGGTACCCAAGTTGGTCCTTTGGATCTCGGGGACCGTGTCCTGTTCCAATTCATGCATGTACGCATGCTTGGTGTACAAACGGAAACATTTACCCGGTCCCACGCGCCCGGCACGACCTGCTCGTTGACCCGCCGCGGCTCGAGAACAGGGCGTCACGACGAGGGATTCCATCCCCGATCGAGGGTTGTACGAGTTTTGCTTGACGAAACCGGGGTCAATGACGTAGACGACTCCATCGATCGTGATCGAGGTTTCGGCAATGTTGGTCGCCAATACGACTTTTCTCGCTCCTTCGGGGGTAGGTTCAAAGATCTTGGCTTGCATGTCCGTCGGCAAATTGGCGTAAATGGGACAGATCATCAATTCGGCGACTTTGTTCCCCAAGGCTCGAGCGGTCTCTTCGAGGTTCTCTTGCATCGCCTCAATCTCGTCTTGACCCGTGAGGAAGACGAGGATGTCGCCTTTGGGTTGGGAGGTGTGGATCTGGAAGACGGTCGTCACCGCCGCGTGGAGGTAGTTGGCTTCGGGTTGAGGCGTGTAGAGGATATCGACGGGGTACCTTCGACCGGGGATACGGAAAATGGGGGCATCGTCAAAGTATTCCGAGAACTTGGTCGCGTTCAACGTCGCTGACGAGATGAGCAGACGGAAGTCGGGGCGAAAGCGAGCGATATCCTTCACGAGACCGAGTAGGATATCCGTGGAGAGCGTGCGTTCGTGCGCCTCGTCGATGATCATGACGCTGTATCCACCTAGGTCGGGTTCGGTTAAGAATTCGCGCAACAACATCCCGTCGGTCATGTACTTGATCCGCGTCTTGTCGCTCGTGCAATCCTCGAAGCGGATCGAGTACCCGACCTCATTACCCAATCGACAGCCGACTTCTTCGGCGACGCGAGCGGCGACGGACATGGCTGCGACACGACGAGGTTGCGTGCAGCCAATCTTGAACCCGTCTTTGCAAAAACCGGACTCGAACAGGTACTGAGGCAACTGCGTCGTCTTGCCCGATCCTGTCTCGCCCTCGATGATGACGACCTGATACTCCCTCACCGCATCGAGGAACTGTTCTCGCCATTCGTAAACGGGCAACGACTTGCGCACCTCGTCCAACGACTTGGCTTTACGTTCCGCTTCGTCGATCTGCGCCTGCAAGGCCGCGTCCTTGGAGGAAGTCGGCATCGAACCTGCTATCCCACCTTCGGCATCGAGCGCAAAAGCGATCTTGACGGATTCGTCAAAGACAAAATCGTACTCGTCCTCGACGACTTGTCGATCCAATGCCCCCGTCGTGAGTTGCGCCTTGGCCGTTTGCTCCATCTCGTACTGTTCGAGATCGGTGACGAACTCTTGGTCCTTGACGCCTCGGGACTTGGGCTTGACGTCGGTGTACCTCGAGCTCAACAGGTCACGCTTCTTCTTGGAGTCGATCTTGCCCTGCGCGGTAAAGTAGTCGTCCGGCATCTGGTACCCGTCCAAGCCCTCGTCGATGGCAAGTCGTTCCTCGGCCAACCTCAACAGTTCCTTCTTGCGATCCAACTCTTGCCTCTCCCGTTTGGTCAACTTGACCCCTCTGAAATCCCTCTCATCATCCGCGATTTCGATGCGCAACAGATCCAACTGTTGTTGTTCCCTCTTGCCCAAATAACTCTGCCTTGCGCGATCCCTCAACGAAGGCATCGCCTTTTGGAGTGCGTCCGGATCACCTGCGAGGGCCCTGCGGGCGGCGGCTTCGGGGTCGGCTCGATCCTCGATCAGTTTCTTGGTACGGTCTTTGTCCTTGTCCTTCATGCGTTGGGCGAACTCGTCCCTCTCTTTCAGATCGGCCAATCGTTCACGTTCTCTTCGCTCGGCCGCTTCTTCCTCGGTCTCTTCGACTGGTACTTCTTCCTCCTCGGTTTGATCGGCATCGGGTTGAACGAATTCGTTGATCCCATCCGGACGTCGCTTGGCGTGCCTCCTGGCCTGCGCCTCGTCGTCCCTCTTGTAACGTTCTTCCTCCTTGCTCCTCTTGGCGGCCCTCTCTTCCTCATCCGATTCCCACCCATCTTGAGCTGAATCCCGTTTCCTCAAAGCGGACGACGAAGCTTTCTTGGACGAGGAACCTTCCTTGGCTTTACCCTTCTCCTTCTTACTCTTACTCGACAAAGCCAAAGACGTTCCCTGTGGTGGTTCTTCATCGTCCAACATCAACGTAAATTTTTGATTCTGCATCCCTCTTTTTTCCTTTTCCGTTTTCCTCCTCAACAATTCTTGCGTTTGCTTGGGGTTCGTCAGAGGGGTCGAGGAAGAGGATGATTTGGGCAACCTCTCCGCGAGACCTTGGGCGAAGGTTTGGGTCGCGGGACTTGCGGGGAGACCGTTGGTGAGGAGTAGGGAATGAACGGAGCTTGGGGAGGGCTGTTTGAGCGAGGTGGCTGGGGGGGGGGGGGAGAAAGGGATGAAGGGAGGTCAGTGTTGGGGTTCGTAAGGCAAGGTGAGTGAGGAGGGCAGCAAGTAGGAGGTGGGTGGGGTGGGACTGACCTAGGGTGATGAAGTAGTCGACCGTGACCGAGTCCGAGGCACCGAGTAGGGAGAGCAAGTTGTCCGAGACGTACGTCTTGAGTGAGGACGACATGGTGGTTGTACGTATGGGGGTGGTGGTGCCTGATCCACGCGACGACGAGCGAGGGGGTCAGAGACTGAGCCTTTGAGCCAGCTGAGTCACGGCCTGCGTACGGCCTGCGTACGGCCTGCGTACGGCCTGCGTTTGTAATGGCCCCGAGTTTGGGGATTAGAAATGCGGGGGAGAAATGCAAATATGCACAAATATGTACCAAGCCACCCACGGCGAGGCGCGCGCGGGCTGCGACGGAGCTCGGCCTCTCCTCAAGTCACCGACCGGCTCGGGGCGAGTCCCACGTACATATCCCACACAGACATGCCCAACACGAGGGTGAGTCGGATCCGAGCTTCAAACCGAGTGTTATGTGTGGTTGATGCGCAGTGATTCTCGCACAGAAACGGTGGCATACGGTGCGACCGTGGCAGCCTCCCGCTTCGGCCTCAGCCTCGGACACTCCCGGCGCGGTCGAGGCCTCGAGCTCGGCAGCGACCACATCCACTTGCACCACCGCAGCACCCCGCACGGGCGGTGCTCATTCCTCTGAACCGTCTTCGCTCGCTTCCTCCCGCCGTTCGTCAGTCGACAGCAGCACCTCGTCCCTCTCCTCTTCCCTGTCCGCCTCCTCCTCTTCCTCGTCCTCGTCCTCGTCCTCCACCTCGTCGACCTCCACCTCCTCGCACCAACTGCAACTCCAAGTCCTCGACGTCACTTCCACAGCCGTAGTCCTCTCCGTCACGTCCCCACTCCATCCGACCACGCGCACCAACCGACGACGTCATCGCAAGCACAAGGGCAAAGAACCGACGATCTCGATCCAACTCAACGGACAGGATTGGTCCCGAGTCGCTCATGCCGGCCCGACGACCGTAGCCACCGAAACCGATGACGAATCATCGCCCAATTCACCGAGGGCGATGACGGTGATTGTGTATGGATTGGATCAGGGTAGCGAATACGAGATCGGGTTGGAGGTCGTCAAGGCTTCCACTTTGAGTTCGAGGTCGACGATGGCGATGGCGACGGCGACCGGAACGGGAACGGGAACGGGAACGGGAACGGGCGGGACGAGTGAGCTGCAAGAGCATCGCCATCATCACCATCAGAGGGGGGTCATTCAGGTCGAGACACCTTTATTGAATCCGACTCTGCGTCGAGAGGACGACGAAGCCCACACCGCTCGTGAGTAGGAGGCGAGTGTAGAACTGTTCCCTTGACCGGCTCTGACCAGCCGTCTGCGCTCCCCTAGACCTCTCCACCCATCGAGCGACGACTTCATCCGATTACTCCGCGGAATCTCCTCTCACCTCGACCTCTTCACCAACTACCCATAGCGCGAACGAAGCGAACCACGCCTCCTCGCACAGCAGTACGCCGCCCGACGGACCACCCCCACCTTACTCCCCCTCCCCCTCCCCCTCAGCGAACGAATCTTCGACGTCCCCCTCCACCTCGACCACGAACTACGCGAACCCTTCTTCGACCATCTCCGAACAACCAACCGACGAACCTCACCTCCGCGCGCAACTGAAAAAGATTCGCGCGTCTTCGAAACGCACCGAATCCGTTTTACAAGCTTCGATCAGCGCGCTCAAGAAGAGCGTCGAGAAAGCTTTGAAGGAGGATCAGAGAGCGAGGACGAGGATTGTGGGGTTGGAAGAGGCGATTAGGAAGGCTACGGAGGGGGAGAGGTTGATGAGGTTGGAGGAGAGGGGGGATGTCGAAGGCGCGTTGGAGAGGTTGGTCAGGGAGGAGGAGGAGAGGGGGAGCGAGTTGAAGAGGAGGAAGGAGGGGGCGGGCAGTAGCGGAAAGGAGGAAGGGGTGGGAATGGGTAATAGGAAAGGTGAGGAAGAAGCAAACGGGGGTGGGAACCTAGCACCGAGTGGGGAGGTCGGAGTGGGCGAGTTGATGAAAGAGTTGGATGCGCTGAACGTCAAGATTGAGGAAAAGGACAAGGACGAGAGGAAAAAGTTGCAGGACGCGGTCAAGCATCTGGAAGCCGAATTGACCAGGTTGGACAACGAGTTCATACAGTGCGTTATACCAATCTTGGACAAAAGAGGACTAGAGAAGATCCTCTGCTGACTGTACAAGAACAATTGTGGTGCACAGACTCGATCGGGAGGAAACGCATCGCTATCATATGGCCATGCAAGCCGCAGCGGCGGCGGCCGTTTCGGACGCTCGCCTGTCGTCGGATTCACTCCTCCCTTCACCGACGTCATTGAATGCGCCGCCTTCGTCGTCGTTATCGAGTGGTTTCAACCTGAGATGGAGAAGGAACCCTTCGCAAGGTCAACAACCGCCTCAGAATCATGACGCTTCACCTCCGACTGTCACGTCGGTCAATCATAACCTCGCTGCCGGTGGTGGGGACCCGCGCTCGTTCGGTCGTTTCTGGCGCAAGAATGCTTCCCACAACGTCGTTGTCAACCCACCCAACTTGAACCCCGGTACTTCGATCCTCCTGAACCCAGACGACCTCGATTCCCCTCGCACTTCGTTCGAAGCCCAAAACGGCTCGCTTGCACCAAATACCTACGTTTCCTCAGGCCAACAAGGACCAGGCTCGATTTCCGATCGACAGTACTACGCTCAGGTGCATCAAGCCATGTGGGGTAATGGAACGGGACCTACGGGAGGTCCTGTTGGATCTGGGTCCGGGCCTACGGGGCCGAATGCGATTGATATCACTACGCCGCCGAGGAATGAAGGGTTGGGGTCGGGGTCGTTGGGCAGAAGGACGGGTGCGGCGGCGTTATTGAGGAGGTCGGGGAGCGCGAACGCGTCCCATGGAGCACAACACCAACAACAGTCGGGCGTCGGTTCGACGTCGCTTACGTTACCCCCTGGGATCGAGATTCAACAACCGGAACCAGAGACCGACCTTGCGGCGTCAACCTCTTCAACTTCTTCCATGTCCATCTTCGGCACCAAATCCTCCATCGCTAAATCCAACCGAAGCGTCAGCAACCCCGTCGACATTTCCGGCACTTCACCTGGAGGCAAGAGTTTCGACTCTAACGGCACTAATTCGAGTGGTGGGGGTGGGGGCGGGGGACCGAGTAGTTGGGGTACGAGGTTGCAGGGGACTTGGTCGTCGGTCGTGGCGAGGAAGTCGAAGGAGAAGGATGGAGGGGACGCGGGTGGGGGTAAGGAGAAGGAGAAGGAGAAGGTTTAAAGGGGTGAGGAGAAGGTGAAGCATGGAGATACGCGGTCATTCTGTGTGTACTGCATTTTTCAGTTTATTGCAACATCACAGACCCTATTTTTTGCATCGACTGGGCAATTAGGTCGCCGGGCCTTCAAACTCTGACCCCATCTGCAGCCGAAGCCTTGAAGCGTTCCCTCTCCTCCTTCTCCTTCTCCTTCTTCAACCTCCTCCCTTCTCTCTTCCAATCCTTAAAGTCGACCTTCGGCATCTCAATCCCAAGTTCCCTCCTCAATTCGCCAATGTCCATCCCCCACTTCTTCTCCCATTCAACCCCAATCAAGCACTCCGCCTTCCCCCCACTCTTCAACGCCCAACTGCCATAAGCATCCCACAACCTGCTCCGTTCCTCTTTCTCCATTCTCAGCGGTCCAAAAACGGACGATAACAAAGCGACGGGTAGACCAAAGTTGGCTAGTTCGAACCACTTGACGACCAGTTCGGCGGGTAGGGAGACGCCGAATCCGAGGAGGACGTGATAAAAGTCGTGTGATTCGCGGTAACGTTGCATGATGTACGCGAGCTCGGCGTCATCGATGTAGCGCACCTGAAGTGTCAGGAGCAGCAGAGTGAGTTTTTCTGTTGAGCCCCTAATTAGAAACCCCTGCCCCCCGGCCCTCGATAGGTAGGACGTACGGGATCCCTCGTATCAGGCGTCACTTTATTCCCTTTCAACCAATCCGCATACGCCCTCCCAAAAGTACCCGCTGGCAACTTCGCGAGCGTATTCTCGATATCGAGGGACGCTTCGGTGATGCGGGGTCTTTCGCGTAGGAGGGAACGACCGGAAGGGGTGGAGAGGATTTCGGTGCGGAGTCGGGCGAGGAATGGGCCGGAAGTCGTTTCGGATAAGACGGCGATCATGTCTGTTGTTTTTTAGGGGGGCAAAAGAGAAAAGGGTGTTAGAGGTTGATATTGGGGAGGGACTCGGGTTGGGATGGGGTGGGGGCGTACCGTGACGATAGGTATTCGTGATTGAAGCGAAAGCACTTCCGACTGCCAACAAGGAACGTTGAAACAGATTGATCCGCACATGACCTGGGTAGAGCGGAGCTTCTGAAGGACTGGAAGAGGGAGTTGGGTTCGAGGTGGTGATGGCTCGTGTTGGAGAGGTGGAGAAGGATCGTTGGGTGGGGAGGAGGTGACGTATCCACGGTGTTGGACCGAGGGACGGGGTCAGCTGACGACGGAGGGTGCGAGTGGCCCGGGCGGGGAGGGAGGCCATTTATGACCTCGTGTTCGTGTTGCAAGTTGGTAAAGTTGGCGGGTTGAACGAGGAAGAAGACCGGGAACAAATCGAGGAAAGAGGACGACTTGCGAACTCGCGCGAGACTCGCAAGTCTCACTCTTTCTCCTGACACCTGCCCCCTCTCTTACCATCAACCGCCATGTCGTGCACCTGCCTACTCCAAACATCGAACCGAGCCATCTCGTCCACGTTTTCTGTGTCTCGCCTTGTGCTCAAAGCGGGCTTCTCCTCGCAATCGATCGTACGAGCGGCCGCGAAAGGTACAGGTGCTAAAGCAGCAACAACAGCAGCAGGTTCGTAGCTGAAATTCCACCGTAAATGTTTTGTGTTAGCTTTACTGATGATCCGTTGTGTTCTCTTGACGCAGCTTCTCCTGCAACACCAACACCAGCCGCAGCTGCAGGAACGGCTTCGCTCTCGTCGTGCCCGGCCGGCACCGTCTTGCCCGGATTGAACTTTTCGAAAACGGGTTCGGACCCGATCGCAAAGGTAAGAGCAGCGGATTTCAATAATTCGACCCAAGTTCTGCTGCTGAGCCCCACGACTCGGCCCAACAGGAAGACTCCGAATACCCCTCTTGGCTTTGGACGCTCCTTTCGCCTCGGAAAGCGCCCGCTTCCATCAGTGGTTCACCCAAGGATGTCGCGTTGTTCGACCAAAAGAGGAAGATGAAGATTTCGTCCAAGACGGCGATCAGGGCCAGGAATACTTTGACGGGGTAGATTGTCTCAGCGAAGGGGCGAACGTTTCTCATCTTTCTCCCGAACGACGAACTGGGTCGGCCACTCGCGCTATATTTGTCTGATCGCTTTGCACTTTTACCGATGGAAACCCCATAAAACTTTAGGTGAAATTGGAGGCTTTCGCGCAAAGCGGAAGACCGAGGCTCAAAAGCATGTGCTCGGACAGAATGGGTTCCGCTGGGGGCGCCGGAGCGTTACCGACGGTGATGACCTTGTAGCAATAAGCTACACATTCGTCGCATCTGACCCATCGAGCGGTCTCGAAAATTTTCCGTCGACTGAAATATTCTTTGACCGCATCTTGAGCTATTTCATTTAGAGTAGGAGGCGAGAGAGGGCTCGGCGCCGGGAAGCGAAGATAAGAGATCGTCAATTGACTGTGAACGTTCTGTGGATCTAAAAACTCTCTTGCCACTTGTCGCGGCCACAACGCACTCTGGACGCCCGCGGCTGCCGCATTCCGAGCATGCCCCCTATCGGGGTTTGGCAACACACTCGACAGCGATCTCGTGCTGTTACTTCCTTATATCCCGCTCATAACTTTCTCTTGGTGCGTATGCATTAGGTGCCTCGGCCTCGCAGAAAGAACAAACTGGTCGAAATCGGCCGATTGTCCCAGATGTCACTCTTCCACGGCTAATTCTGTGGCATGCTAAAAGAAACGGGCGGTGCGGCGGGCAAGGCCAACCTCGGGCTGGTAGGGGCTGGTCGGCCTTCCACCGTGACTTGGCACCGGTGCGATCTCCGAGCAAGCACTTGTATTCAATGTCGTGCGCGATCACTCTGTTTTTGGGGCTTTCTTCGTTGTGGTTTTTAGTTCGGAAATACCTTTCACGGTGGCGCTCTAGGATAAAGTGCCGGGAGCGCACGGTGCCGGATCGATGTACATGATCATCATCATGCGAGTCGCAGCTCGATGCCCGAGCGGCGAGGACAGATTTGACTCGCTCGGCAGCTGCTCGGCCTTCGCACTCGCCCGCACTCGCCGCCACTCGCAGCCACTCGCCGATTGATGAGCGCGCTTGGCGACGACGGCGGTTGTTTGTCGCACTTGACTTCGTCCCCCCCACACCACCCTCTCAGCCTCAGCCCTCCCCCACCGTCGTCGACGCTGCCATCGACTTGATCCTTGACCACTTCCCGAGTACAGCCCCATGTCGTCGATGTCCGGGACCTCGGTCACGAGCGCCGCGCCGAGCCGTCGCACGCGCATCTACCTGTTGGAGGACGTGCGCAAGCATCGCTCGAGCAAGGACTGCTGGGTCGTGCATGACAACAAGGTCTATGACGTAAGTTGGTCCGCGAATGGCCAGCCTGCCTTCTCTTGGGGTCGTTGCGTGGACTGAGCCGAGATTGCACTGCCTATCCATTGGATCATCGAACGCCACCGCCGCCACCGCCGCCACCGCGATCGCCGTAACCGCTCCCGCTCCCGTCCCCGCCCCCGACGCGTTTACAACCGCGGCCGTCTGCGCGCTCACGCCGAAAACACGCCCAACCGCCTCTACGATGACCGCCCAATCCATTCCACCTCACTAGGTCACTCCCTTCCTCGAAGATCACCCCGGGGGAGACGATCTGATCCTCCACTACGCCGGCAAGGACATCACCTCCGTCATGGCCGACCCCGTGGAGCACTCGCACTCCGACTCGGCCTACGAACTCTTGCAGCAGTACCAACTCGGCGTCATCGGTGCAGAGGAACGCATCACCAACGAGGACTTTGTCTGGAACGAGAAATTCGAACCCCAGGACACGGACACGTCGCAGGATTGGCAAAAGAATCAGTTTTTGGATCTTCAGCGACCTTTGGTCATGCAGATGCTGCGAAGCGATTTCTCCAAAGCGTTCTATCTGCAACAGGTCCATCAACCTAGGTCAGCAAAGCCAGGACCGTCTGATGCCGCGTAGTATCCCACCACTGACCGCCGATCGACACCCACCCGCCCGCGCAGGCACATGTCGGAACCGGCGACGTTGTTCGGCCCGTGGTACCTCGAGATGTTGACCCGAACATCGTGGTACGTCGTCCCTATCGTATGGACTCCGATCACGCTCTACTTCCTCTACTGCGCGTGGATGCAACAGCCCGTCGCGCTCGACTTCTCGACAAGAGCGACACGCCTCGGCCTGTCGTTCTTGTTTGGCAACTTTGTGTGGACCGTGAGTCGGCTTTGGGCGTTCTCTGTCACGGGGCATAGGGAACTGATGAGTGAAGGACTACTTGCACAGATCCTTGAATACACATTACACCGGTTCCTCTTCCACATGGAGGCCGTCCTGCCCGACCATCCGTTTGCCTTGACACTTCATTTCCTCCTCCATGGCATTCATCACTACCTTCCCGTGAGTCAGAACATATCGAGAAATCTTATCATGATGGTGTTGACCAACGACTGCATTTCCTCCCCACTTTAGATGGATCGCCTGCGCCTCGTCATGCCCCCGATCCTATTCGCCGCCCTTTCGTACCCCTTCATCCGTCTCGCCCATTCCATCTTCCCGCACAACATTGCTTACGGAATAATCGCGGGAGCGTATACGTTCTATATCGGCTACGACCTGTTACATGTAAGTCAGGTGCAGACGGGGCAAGTCGTTGACATTCCACCCCCCGTCCATAGACTGATCACCTCCTTGAATACTCCCTCTCTCGCAGTACTTTATGCACCACGCCAAACTTCCCCGCGTTTTGAAAGCACAAAAGAGTTGGCACATGGAACATCATTACAAGGAACCGAATCTCGGCTACGGCGTCACGTCGCCGTTCTGGGATATGGTCTTTGACACCGTCTTTGATGCGAAAGCGAGAAGAATGGAAGGGGGCAAGATGAAGGCCGAACTTTGATGCAAAGACGGTGCTATGGTTTGATAGATGCGTTGTTTCGAGTATGTGTATTTTGGAGCTGTCTTTCGTCCTTCGTCCTTCGTAATGTCTTCTTTTTCTTTCTCTTGCTGTTGAAGGAATCCTTGATCGTCTTCGACACTCCTTGGTGCTTCATTTCCTTTTACCTAGATACGTGGACACTGAACAGGAATAATAATACTAAATACTAAACCCCTATCGCTCAACCCCTCAATCACGTTTGAGCACATGCGCAGCTTAACCGAGAAGTCAGGTACCATCGTGATCGTGGAAGATTAAATGGAGGAAAAAGAAAACACTGCTTTCCCTTTGAAAGATTATTCATACTTCTTACTACTAATACTACTTGACTTCTTTGATTCCGGAAGAAGAGGGGGGGGGGTTACAACTGGACGGCTTATCGGGGTAAACTTGGGGGTCATCTCTGGTCGTTAAAAGGAACGAAAACGGACTGGGGGGGGGGGGGGGGGTTGCTTGGTCGGGTTTGCGAGTGGACATGAATAAACGATAAAGGAACGAATAAAAGGGATACTGTTGGGTTGGGAGAAAAGAAAGAAAAGAAAAAATGCGAAATGGAAATTACTGCGATAACTGAACTGATGGGGTTGCAGTCAGAGCATCATGTTCTGTGAAGAAGCGAAAAAAAGTAGCGCGGTCAGGATTCTCATTCCTGGTATTTCAACTCGAAATGGCGTGTCCCGCGAAAGACTAATCTTCGCTCCTTCGGCTCAAGTCACGCTCTGAACTTACTGAATCGTTCAAGTTCGTCACGATGATGTGGTTCTCCACCGAGGCCAAGACGACCTTCATCGCTTGGGTATCCGTCGCGCAAGTGAAATGGGCGTAAATCGTTTTCCGACATCTATGTGGCGCACAAGGGGAAGGGTTTAGATAATAATCGGGACCCCAAACGTAGCCAATTGGACATACAACGATTTGAAGATGCTGAGCACTACTCGAGAGCAGGGATTGCGTGTGGGGTGGGGAGCAAAAGTGTTGATATTGAGGGTTGGGATCAGGAAATGTACGTGTGGCGCGAGTGCACAGGTTGGAACGTACTGTATTGTTGCACTTCAACAAGGGTATTCTCCCCTCGGTAGTCCGGAAAGGAGTCTGAGAATAGAGTGTGCTGCAGCTTGCTTTCGAGGAGATCGATCTTGTTTAGGAAGAGGAGGAGACTGTGGGTGAGGACCCGGAGCGGGGGGGGGGGTTAGTCGGATGGCCTACGAGAAGAAGATTTAGTTACATAAGGGTCGAAAACACCTACCCTGATCTTATGAACCATCTGATAAGTCAAATACCCAGTATGAGGAAGAAGTCAGACTACTGCCCCACCCCCTCTTCTCAACGCTGGGCCCGGTGTCCCAGCAGGACGTACCTTGAGTTGGAGATGGATTCGAACAAGACACACGCCTCGGAGACCCGATTTACTGTCTCGTCCTCTCGTAGTGTTTGATTAAATTCGGAGATAGCAACGACGAAGAAGACGATGTTGACGTCTTCGAAACAATGAATCCTATTCGACGCACCCAAGAAGTAGTCAGCCATCACCCGCGATTCAAGCCTTCTTCAGCTTGAGCTTGAGCGCCAAGCCACCAGATGCGTACCATTTCTTCCTCTCACTCCTCTGCCCACCCACGTCAAAACATCTGAACGTCAATCTTTCGGACATTTGAAATTTGGCCTCCGTTATACCCGTCGTCCGAACGCGCGACCGAAGGATGTCGGCGTCGGTCGGAAGATAACCCGGGGCCCCTATCCGGGGAGCGGCGGCGAAGAAACTGTGCGTGGCGCGAGGGAATCAGGTGGGGAGTCAGGTTTGGATGCCTGTGAAATATGGGATGGACTCTGAGATAGAGACATACTATTGTGCAGAGTCGTTGAGTTGGAATCGATGGGATTGAGCCACACATGCCCTCACGGCCGGCTCGTTCCAGAGTGATATCAAGCCATCGCGCAATTCGGGGTGCAGATTCCCCCGATCATCCATCACATCTGACATGAAAAGTCGAGCAAATCAGTAAGATCGCCATTCGGATATCACGACCATGCCATCGCCGCTCACTTACCAGGTTGGATGTCCAACCGTCTAAAATGATCAGCAAAGGAAGTGTTGCGCGACGAGGACAAAGGCAAGCCCAAATCTTCTAGCGCCAGAACGACGACCTGATCGTCGCATCCCCGAACAACGGCGCGTCCGCGAGAACAAAAAGCAAAGGGGCATACATTCGTGAGCCTCTCCACAGTACATCTGACCCTGAGTATTCGCTGGTAGATGTATCATACCTGCATGCTTTGAACGGCGTTCGAGTAAATGATCTCGCGGTAGGCATGCCTCTCCGCGTCCGAATGGGTACCTCCACTAAGGAGCGCCATCTGCTTGAGGACCGTCGATTTGCCAGATTCGCCGGCTCCTAAGAGGAGACCTATAGATGCAACCAGATTTCACCGAGATGCTATGTTCATCAGTATATATGGCCATTGAAGCATTGCGAACCACCAGAATGACATGTCTCAGTGCCGCCGCGCCGGTTGTCGGGCCGCGATTGGCCGAGCAATGTTGAACTCACATTTCACTTCGCGACTTCCGAAGCGAAGTCATGTCAAAATCACAGGTCAGAACCACACGATGAGGCAGGGTAGGACAGCTCGTAACCCTCGCTCACCTCGCCAAAACCTTCTCCCTTGATAACATGTCATTGATCTCCCGGTTGCGGATCTCCTCCGGCGAGGACTGCGAGCAGCCCATCGAAGCACGTCGGAGTTGAGAGTGTTTCCGCGTGTGGGGCGACGCTTAGGACTTTTTCGTCGAATTGGTATCGAAGACGATTTCAGCACGACTTTTTGCACACGATGATGAGCTCAGATGGTGGAAAGAGGATGGAGGAGGGTCTCCCTATCTCCTCAAAGGTTCATCGAGTTGTGAAGGCAACGATGATGGCCGAGCGAAAGAAAAAAGTCCAGGGTCACTGTCGGAGGCAAGCGACGAGAAAGGCAAGACAATGGATGTAACAACGAGACGGTGGGTTGGAGAAGGGGCGATTGCGCTAGCAGCGCGGCGGCACTCAGGGCGGGGTGTCTCAGTTCAGCTCATATGCGAAGGGCGACAATGAATTTCTTCTGGCTGTTGCGAGTTTTGTCTTGTAGGCAGATGAACTCCAATTTTACGCGGCTGTCGAACATTTGTGAATTGCGATGGCCGCCGCCGCGTGCCATCGTTACCTTGGCGGAGCCCCCACTGCAGCTGGACAAAGGCGACGTGGCGTAACTCCGTCGGCAATGGGGCGCGGGGCGTCAACTGCCATTGTTGGATTTCGGGCTCGCTCACGTGCTTGAGTCCCCGCGGTGACGCAGGACAAAGGGACGATCGCCGAGTGATCGCCTAGGACAGGTCTCAGTGCGCGATGGAGATCGCTGACATAGGCATCAAGCGTCGTTATTCTTGCATCCCTACTTGTCCAAGGTTAATGTATGGTTCAAAGACACAAGTCTCGGGACCACCACGCGTCCATATGAGTCAGACAACAGCGCGCGCGAGCGAAAATTCTGGCTTCCAGTTACCCGGACACCTCGGACTTACTGCGGTACAAACTACTGTTCTGCTGGTGATTCGCACGTATTATTCTACACAGAAGTAAGTCTACTACCGCGAGACATCTTGTTGCGTCTATTTCCTAGTGGGTCACCGCAGGCATAATCTTCGGTAGTTGCGGGCACTTCGATGTTACTCGGGCCGTCGGGCTTCGGAGGTCGGCAGGCTGCGTGACTGTGAGTATATTTGTGACCAGCCAAGGTAAGGGAGTCACAAGTTCCCACGGAAGCAGATCATGTCCACTGGAGGGAGAACTACGCCTTGGGGAAGCGGAGGTACCTAGTATGCTGACCTGCGCAGTTTGGCCCACGCATCCCAAATCCATGCAACGGGTTCAGCTTCGGACTTCGACGGCTTGGTGCCCCCTTCGCCGCAGTCTTGCTGATAGGCAAACCTTCACGATGATAAAAGCTTGTACACTCACCCTGTAGTATAACCAAGATACTGAGTAATACAAAGTAAGGACAGGGATAGTCCGAAAAATATGGAAGCCCGGTGAGAAGATCTGATCGCTTCTCGGCGGCCGAGAAGCTACCTGTCGTCAAGGAGCCTAAAGGGACCGACCTCTTCACTGAACACGAGATGAGAACCGAAAGCCGAATGAATAACCGGAAATTTGGAACAGGTAGACTGACAGACACATTCTTTAATGGCATACATCAGGGTGGTCAAGCCAAGCTGGTCGAATCCACCCAGGTCGGGCGCGTAGCTTCCACCACCGGCATCAATGCCATTGTTCAGGTTGCGTTGAATGTGTCGGCCCTAAGGCGTCGCAATACCTTGGCTCCGTAGTGGTACCTGGAGCACGACTCAGGTCAGTCAAATGTTACCTCGCCCGATCGCGTCGACAACCGGTTGGGTGGACAGCGAGTCGCTGTACAGAGCGGTAGACAACGTCGGAGCCGAGATTATACTTGACGACGTACTCGGCTTCAGCGTGCAGACGGCTGTTGTCGTAGACGAAGAGGTGGCCACCTTGTTTGCAAGCGATATGAGCTATGGCATCGACGAGGGCCATGTCCAATGTTGCGCGTCCTCTGATCCGGTCCTGCCCAAGCACCACGGCGGGGTCAGCAGAGTCTCTAGACAGACGTGAGAGAGGAGTTCGAGATCTCTGGATTGACTAACCTCTTGAACCTGCCCGGTACGGTCATCGTAGAGAATATATACGCTGTGCTCAATTGAGCCTTGCCATTTTCCGTTATGGAAAAATCGATTGCTTCTTGGTTCATGGGACAATTGTGCGATAGGATGCCGGTCGCCAAGACGGTTGCCATGTTGGCCAGATCTGGCAGCTGGCCCATTTTTAGGCAGATAGTTTGAAAGGCACAGCTTTAGCTCGCCGCCGCCATCAAACTCGCTCCAAAGAAAGCAGCTGGGCTCACATAATCGTCCATTGAGGTTTTGCTGTGATCAACGAGGAAGTCGTGCGCCATCGGGTAGAAGACGCCCATAAGCAGCCTCCTGGTTAGTGACCTAATCCAGGGTTTGCGCCGAAAAGCCGGCGTAGTCGCGCACGAGTCCCGCGATATTGGCGAGTTGGTAGCCGTACGTGCCCGAGGCCAAGTATCGGTCCGAAGCCACGCCGCCGATGCAAGTCATAGGGCTCGAACAAGCGTTCGGTGTGCTGACGGCTGACTCGGAGCCGGCATAGCCGTATCTTACCTGAGCTTTCATCGCAGTGCCGTTCTGTGAGGCGATAAATGCTCGAGAAGGCAATTATAGTAGGAGATCCTTGCTCAAGACAATCACAAGAGGTTCAGTACGTATCAAACCCACTGAGATGCCGGCGCCGCTGCGCAGTCGCAGCCCCGCGTCTCTGGAAGCGGCTTGCCTCATTGAGGCGCCTCGTGGCGGGGGCTTGCGCCTGGCCCCTGCATCGAACCCGCTTCCTATTCCCGAGGTCTAAATACGACTGCCGATGTGCTGTTTGCTATAAAGCGACCAAGCATAGCTTCGGTAGGCAATGATCTCCCGTGTTGGAAAAAGGACTTGAGTTACAGGATAGGTCAGGTTTAGTGAAACTTGCCCATGCCCAGGAATGCATGAGCTACATTACAACGAGAAAAATACCTACAAACAGGGACGGCCATTTTTAATAATAAAAGGGGCGCTGGACCACATTATGTAGGCAATCGCCTCTGACCTGACCAATATAAGACTCCTAACACCCCCTTGCCCCAGGCAATTATCTCTTTCTTTTCCCCCCTCTTTCTCCATTTTTCCCAACAGGCCTAAATTGGAGTCCAACTTGGGCCGTCGGCGTTTGCAGCGAGCGGGAAGTCGCATCGATGAGTGAGCCATGTGCAGGTGATCGCCAGTGATCTAAGTGATCGCCCCGCGACGAGAAGAGCCGTTAATTGCTCGCTACCCACCTACCAGGTTGGAGTGATTCATCACAGCCAGGTGGGTAGTCAGGCAGTCGACTCCCGCATTACTAGACCCCTATCGAGTGTTCACACCTTGCGTTGCCCGTAGTTCGGATCAGCGGTCGTGTTTTCTTGAGAAACTCAGCAGCGTGCTCAGAAAGTCCGAAAGACTTCGGCAGAACAGCTCTCAGCCTTATTCGGCGGTCTTTCATGGTACATGAACAGTCCGGGGTTTGCAGTCGGCTATGGGTGTTAGTAGCGATCTCGTCTAAACAGCTCATACTCCCTGGAACATGATCTCGCTTGATATCTGGCCGGCAGACTCGCAATTTTCAGCGTTGCCGGCGCCGGCGCCAATAAAAAGGAGGCTCAATGAGGCTCCACCAGAAGAGCCAGAAGTCGGGAAGCGCGCGAGAACGACGGCCTGACCTCGACGAGACCTCTTAGCTTGTGCCCTCATCTCATCGTCGACTTTGTTTTTGACGCAGCATCATCCACTCCGGTATGGCGATCACGAGTCTCAGTTCCAGCTCGACCGTGCGACGACATGCCTCGACTTGGACCTTCTCGGCCAGCGCGCGCCGCCTGTCGACGACTCGAGTCAACGCCGCCGCCGGCCCGCTGAATCGCCACAGCAAGCTCATCACATCGGACAAGACCCAGGGCGCATCGCAGGTAGGTATCAGTGATCCCATCGCGAAAGATGCTGCCCCTCAAGACCGATGCATCTCGTTCAATGTGATCGACTGTGCTGGTCGACCTTCGCACTCGCAAGCTGATCTAACCTAAGTCCGTCTCTTTTATGCTCGATACTCGTTGCTCCATAGGCTATGCTCTACGCCACCGATGGTATTGACTCTGAAAGTGATCTCGCGAAGCCCATGGTCGGTGTTGCGAACGTCTGGTAAGCTGCATAAACTCACATTCCCACTCGATCTCGCAACAGACACAGCTGGCTAACTCGGTCTTCCCCTTGCTCCTCCTCAGGTACGAGGGCAACCCGTGAGACGAAACGTACAAGATCCTCAAACCATCGATCCGTGTACTAAATCAGCTGAGCCGGCTCACAGATGCAACAAACACGTGCTCAGCCTCGGCGCCAGGATCAAGGCTTCGCTCCAAAAGTCCGATATCACCGCGTACCAGTTCGGCACCGTCGGTGTCTCCGATGGTATCTCTATGGGCACCTTTGGTATGAGCTACTCGCTCCAGTCTCGAGATCTCATCGCTGATCAAGTCGAGACGGCTGCGGGAGGTCACTGGCTCGACGGTATGGTTACCATCCCGGCCTGCGACAAGAATATGTTCGTGTTTTACCGAGTCGAGCTCCTGCAGGAGGGTCTGTACGCCGATACGAGCTCACACGGGCCTTTCATTTCACCACAGGCCTGGTGTTCTGATGGCTCTTGGTCGTTTGAACCGACCGGGAATTATGGGTGAGCTGTTTCGGGCGTGACACCCACTGACTTAAATCCGGTGAGCTGACGACTTCGGCCCTTTGATCAGTCTACGGCGGTACGATGCAACCCGGTTCGTGCGCGGACCAGCCCGTGTTGGACGTTGTGTCGGCTTTCCAATCGTACGGCAAATACTTGGAGATGGGTTCGACACCCGAGGCAGAGAAGATCCGTTACGACACCGTCCGCAACTCGTGCCGCAAGGAAGGTGGCAGTTGTGGCGGCATGTACACCGCCAAGTGAGCCCGCGGCCAGGCGGTCTTCCATCCTAAAACACAGATACTGATGTAGCTCGTCACCGTCTTTGTGTAGCACGATGGCGAGTGCCGCAGAGGCCATGGGTATGACTTTGCCCGGATCGAGTTCGACACCGGCGGCCTACAAGGAGAAGCTCGAAGAGTGCGATGCCGTTGGCCCTGCGATGTACAATATGCTCAAGTACGACATCAAGCCCCGGGACATCATGACTCGAGCCGCTTTTGAGAACGCCATGGTATGTCCGCAGGCCTTCATTCGAGGAATGAGCATAGCGTGACTGACACCCCTTCCCACCGTCTGTCGCGCAGGTGTTGACCATGATCCTCGGTGGCTCGACGAACGCTGTCCTGCATTTGATCGCCATCGCTCACTCGGTTGGCATCAAACTGACGATCGATGACATCCAATCCGTCTCGGACCGGATACCTTTCGTTGGCAACCTCAAGCCCAGTGGAAAATATGTGATGGAGGACGTGCACAAGATTGGAGGAATCCCGAGTGCGTTCTTGACTGTGTACTTCCATGATCCCATCCAGTGATTTCTCCACCTAAAGTCATTGTTTCACATTTGTCGCAGCTGTCCTCAAATATTTGCTCGAAAACAAGCTCATCGACGGCTCGATCATGACCGTAACAGGCAAGACGCTCGCGGAGAACCTCGAGCACGCCCAACCTTTGCCCCACGGCCAAGACGTCATCTACCCCTTGGAGAAACCCATCAAGTCGACGGGTCACATCCGAATCCTCCGGGGCAACATCGCCCCCGGTGGTTGCGTTTCCAAGATTACGGGCAAGGAGGGCCTCGAGTTCACGGGCAAGGCACGCTGCTTCGACAATGAAGATGCGGTCGCCAAGGCCATTTCGAATAAGGAGCTCAAGGTTGGAGAAAAGACGGTGATCGTGTTGCGATACCTCGGACCCAAGGGTGGACCGGGTATGCCAGAGATGCTCAAGACGACGAGTATGGTCATGGGTGCCGGTCTCGGCATGGACGTTGCTTGCGTTACGGACGGTCGTTTCTCCGGTGGAACGCACGGCTTCACCGTCGGTCATGTCGTCCCCGAGGCTCAGGAAGGTGGTCCGATTGGATTGATCGAGGATGGGGATGAGATTTACATCAACGCGGTCGAGAACACGATCAACATGAAGGTCTCGGACGAGGAGATTGAGCGACGAAGAAAAAACTGGAAGCCCAAGGCGCCAAAGGTCAAATCGGTGCGTCTGGTCGGAATGCTGGCTGGCCCTGTTGTCGATCGTATTGCTGATTCTTCATACTTTGATTATCTTGCAGGGTACCCTTTACAAGTACATGAAGTCAGTCTGTACTTTGGGTCTGCTTCGTTGGCGAATTGTTCCGCAGCAGCTGATCCACTTTCCCATCTCACAGACTCGTATCGGATGCTTCGCACGGTGCCGTCACGGACGCGTAGATAATGTTTGCTATTCATACTACTCTTGTAATGGGTATCACGGGGAACACGTCAAATTGACTGCGTCACTTCTCACCGATACCGAGTGACGAGAAAACGCCTAGAAGATCCGATAGGTGATTCTCGGCCGTGCGCGCACGCCGGGACATGACAGGGGCACGCACCCGTATCCATGATTTAGTGATGTGCATCATCGGCATCAATTAGACATGGGATTGCTTACACATGTACAAAGACGGGAGGTAGGACGGGAGGTAGGTATCACAAACAAGTTGAACTAAACTCTCCTGGACAAAAGGTACGTCGGGAAAGAACCGTTCTTGAGGGTTGCGGCGATCTCTGCGAGATGCTGCGCGCTAGTACTAATAAGTAAGGCACCGGGAGAAATGGGGGACCGAATTGGCGTCAAGCTCGCCGAGCCCAAACAATCGGAGCTCGCGGACTCTCTCGGATATCGATGCCGCCAGGGGAAACTGGCGTGTTCCACTAATACTGCCTTGAGATCTTGACGTCTCTGTTGACTTCCCTGGGCGATATCCACTCTCAAGTGTAACATCAGAGAGCAGCTTTCGCCCATTTGGTCAACTTCGAGCCCCGGGTCCTGGCACGTTGCCCGTGTCAAGGCTCCAGTGCTCACTGAAGCTCAAGCTCGCATTCGCTCGTCGTCACCGCGTACTGCGCTCCCGGCGCGCCTCAAGATCCCGTGACCAAGTGCGCCGCGGGCCCGCGTCGTCGTTGTCGTGGGCGTCCACGTCTTTCCCGGGCTTTTGCGTCACACTCTGGCCGACCAAGCACCTGCAATCATCTCGGGTATTATACTGCCATGTCAGGTCAGTCTCTGCGCCCCTGCACGTCGCATTATCGTAGCGATTCGCCGAATGAATCTCAGAGGCTTCGCTCAACTTGGTGCCAACTCGCTGAACGAGCCTACGCTCCCCAACAGCCATCTACTCCATTTACACCTCACCGAACCACCCGCCCGTTCCCGGACATCTCCCAACATTGATTGTGACGCCCCATGGTCGTAGTAGCCATGTGTTGTGTAAGTCCGAGTCCCTTTCCCGCGCACGGCCGGTGAGACCTAGACCACGAGCTTTGCCTCCTATCGCGCACGTGTCCCCTTGTGTGGGTGTGGGAGCTGATCAATCACACCCTTATCGCGACTAGATACCTACCTCCATACGAACAACAACAAGGAGAACTACCTCTTGACCCCGTCCGATGCCGGCGACTTGTGCGTCGCAAAGTTGTATCCGACCCAGAGCACGACCGGCACCGCGTCGGCGCAATCGGTGCGCTGTGAGGCCAGTCGCAACCTGAGGTGGACCATCAACAACACCGGAATCCAGGTGGGCTATGACAGCATGTCTTAGCAAGTGTTCATATGACGTTCTGACGCTTTGTGCCTCTGCAGAACCCGGTGTATAAATTGACTCTGCCGAACCCGGATCAACCGAGCCAAGATCAACCGCTGTTCCAAGTCAGCAAGCCGAGTCCACACGCAACATGGTGGACACTCTTCTACTTCACCTACGCCGGTCATCTCATCCCTCCGAAGCGTATCGAGTTTGGCAAGATTCAAAGGAACTCGCCCGAAGCGGGAGGCGGCACGCGCGTCTCGATCACAGGCAAGACGGACGATGAGAAAGCCGTTTGGAAGACACTTGGGGATGCGAACGAGGACATGGTCGAATGGATCGTGATTTGTGCGGCTCTCGTCGTGCTCGACAACGAGATCGTCACTGCTGCGACCCTTGCCGGGATCAACGCCGGTGAGCTACCTCCGAACTTCCCGACCCGACCCGAGCCCGCGTCATCGATGCCCGGCCATGCGCCTCGTACACGTACAACTTCAGCACCGAGCAGTCGTGACGCCCAACGTGCGCGTTCGCCCCCAGCGCCGCCTCCGATGCCATCGAGCGTCTCTGCTTCGGGTCATGGCCAACCCTCAAACCAATCCGGGAGGCCAGGACAACCCTTGCTCGAACCGAATCCGAATGCGAGAGCGAGAGCGCCAATGTCACAGCCCAGTCACAGCCACAACAAGTCGTTGCCCATCAACTCGTCCGCGTACGGTGCCCCTCCATCGGAGCCCCTGCCACCCCCACGGCAGCTGCAACCTCAACCTCCGTCCCAGCCGCCTCACCCTTGCGCAGCACCGGCTCCTCTTCCATCTCAAGCCCAGTACCAGTCGTCGCATCAGCCTCAGATGATGCCTCCAGTCGCTCAACCTTCTCGAAAATCGTACGAAGCTGGTCGTCCTGCTCCTGCTCAAGCGCATCCTCCGACCCATCGTTCGTCACTGGACCCTCGTTTCGCCCAGTCCACACCTCAGCAGCCACCGAGTCAATACCAGCCGCAGCAGCCGCAACAACAGCGCTACCTTGGATCACAACCCTCGATGCAATTGCAGCCGCCGAAAGGAGGCGGCGGGGCTCCTCCCCAACAGCCCTATCGCGGCGGTGCACCCCCACCGCACCGCGGATCGCCGAACGGAGGTGGTGAAAGCGCGCAACAGTCACAACGCATGCCACCGCCTCCACACCAACATCTTCAGCCCATGCCGCCGCCGCAACAGCAACAACAAGAGAGACCTTTGATCCGCCATCAACTCTCGGACCGGCCTGTCGCACGTGATCTTCGATACGATGACGGAGCAAGGTCTCGACCTCATTCAGCTGAACCTCCGAGGTCGCAACCGGTGCACGTTTCGGCTTCGCGTTCGTATCCTGAATTGCCTACGCCTCAACAATATTCTTCGCTGCCGCCTCCTCAGCAGCACCAGCAGCAACAGCGAGAAAGGGAACGAAATGGCCGCAATCGTGAGCCCGTAGGGTTGGCGCCTTCGGGTCATCAGAGTTCACCGCCGAGATCGCGTTCACAACCGCCGAGGGGACATCCGCAATACCAACAACAACCGCAACAACCGTTCCTACTACCTCGTCAACAATATCTACAACCTCAGCCACAAGGGCAACAAGCTTACGCAACCCAACAATCCCGACCACCGCAACAACATCACGCACGACCTCCTGGACCCCCTCAGCAACGTCCACCACCACCCGCACAACAAGCGCCAGCCCAACCCCCAAGACAACCTCTGGAACCCTGGCTGCAACCCAAAGGCAATGCCCAAAATCCGATCGCTACCCCCGTCGCAGCCCCTAAACCTGCACCCACCGCATCACCGGAGAAGAAGGCGCCGGAGAAGAAGAACAAGAGCTTTGCGCTTTTCTCGCCGCCTTTGGCTTCGACCAAGAATTGAGCAAGGGTTCATGTGTATGTATGTTCATTGCAGTTTGAGAGAACAGGACTAGAACTTTTTTGTGTTTAGTACGGTCTTTCGGAAGGAGGACGTCCGTATCTGTTCATTTCTTTTTTGCAATCGAACTTTGGAAGAAGTGTACATCAAAAGTTCACTTACACCTGATTAGATATCATGCACTCGCTGACTGCTTTCTTTGTAAAAGGCGTTTGAACACCACAGTGCCGAGTGGCATTGGTGCGACGGGGGGTCCGTGCGGGACGAACTGCAGGGCTTTGAGACTACGCAGGGGGGGCGGCTTGCGAAACCGAGGGAGCGAGTCGCGGACTTTTGGCCGGCAGTGGATTTTGGCCAAGTCGCGCGCCGCCAGTTCGTGGCCAGCCAACAGGCGCGGGCCCGTCCGGGCCAGCAAGCGGATCCAAATCCAACGCGAGCGAGCGTTTCCATCTTTCCTCTCTCCGTTGTAGCCTCGAACGCCAAGTCTCTGCCCATCATGGTAAGTCATTGCACCACGCCCAGCCAGCATTCATCGACGACGAACGCCGGCCGCCCATCCTACTGCCACTCGATGCTGTGTACGACGCCCGACGACACGACGACGGCTGCGAACTCGAGCACGGCGACCCACACGCCAACCAGCCAGCACACACACCGCCCCAGTTGAAGCTTGGGACAGCCTGCTCGCCCAGCGCCTGCCCGCCAGCGGCCTGCCCGCCAGCGCCTGCCCGCCGCCCATGCGGGCAAGCCGGGCGCCTGCGGGCAAAGTTCGACAGTTTTCAGAACGGCGTCGCGTCGCACCCTACGACCATCATTGGCATAAGAGGGTCGGGTGGAGATGGTGTAGAATGATGGATTGAGGCTGATGGTGTAGCTTCAGCGTTGTTGGTGCTGGTGGTCGACGGTGGATGCGATGGGATTGCCGTCGGTCTGAGGTGGGCCATGCTGACCCGGGGGTGCGAAAGGACGCATGCGCGCTCACGGACGACCCACGATCCACCACAATCGACCGCGACATCGACTACGACATCGACTAGTCGCCATCACATACGACCTCCACAGATGACATGGCTGTTTTGATGGTGACCACGTGTGCTGACTCTGTTCTCTCCTCTGTGCCCCGCTCTTCCCTCTGGACGTATTGCTGCACGCCCACCTCCACCCATCGAACAGGATCCCACCGGTGCCGTCACGATCCGCACACGCAAGTTCATCACGAACCGATTGCTGCAACGCAAGCAAATGGTCGTCGACGTCCTGCACCCGACCCGCGCCAACGTCTCCAAGGACGAACTCCGCGACAAGCTCGCGGCCATGTACAAGGCGCCCAAGGACCAGGTCATCGTCTTTGGCTTCCGCACCCAGTTCGGTGGAGGAAAGTCGACCGGGTTCGCGTTGATCTACGACACAAAGGAGAGCCTCAAGTTGGAGCCGAGGTACAGGCTGGTCCGAGTGAGTAGATGGGACGAGCGCGCACCGCACCGGGCTTGCCAACACGAATGGGATGCTGATCCGAGTGTGTCGTACACTCTCAGTTCGGTCTTGCCGAGAAGCGACCCATCACTGGTCGCAAGTTGCGCAAGGAACGCAAGAACCGAGCCAAGAAATTCCGAGGTTCGTCTCTTTCAGTCGCCGAGGTGGACTCTGTGGACCCTGACCCCCCCTCTCTCGTATCATAGGAACCGCCAAGAAGTCCAAGTCGGAGGCCGGCAAGAAGAAGTAAACGTCGTTTGCATTGCAAGCATAACGGGGGGGAAAGGACGAGGAAATCCCGGCACTACATCTTTCTGTTCCTACTCGACGCTCCCATCCCGTTCTCATTCTCGACCCAAGGGCAACAACCCCACCATTCGAACCCACCCACACACCTCGTCACCTGCTCTCTTCGACACTCCGATTCTTTCTCTCTTCTTTTGTCTCCTCGATCAATCCAAAACGGGCCGAACAAGGAACGACCTTCCTTTCTCAGCCTTTCGTGTCGATTTTGGGCGAATTTGTTTTCTTTTGGTGTGTGTGGAGTGAGAGAGTGGAATAGGGAGATGAGTGGAGAAGGGGTGAGGGTCGGTGTTTTTCTGGTTGCTGTTTTGCCCACGGGTGGTTTTTGTAGGGTGATGATGGATGATGGGGAGTCGCCGTTGCAATGGGCTCACTTTTATTCGAATCTCTCGATTTGAACGCGCGTCGTAGGAGAAGTTACCCTTTTTCTTTCTATTGTAAGCATCTCACAGCCGCGATCAAGAACTGATGATGATGCCGGTAATCTTGCCATGATCTTGGGTCGACGCCGTTGTAGCAAGTGAAACGCGGCTCATAACGCAGGCTCGACCGACCGCTGCGATTCTCTGCTTGTGTCCGCTGCTGGCGGGCGGTGTATCACCTGCCCTCCTACACGAGACTCTCCTTCCTTCCTTCGGGAGCTCTTCATCACAATGACGGAACAAGCCTCCGACCATCTCATCCCATCGCAACACCTCCCCACTCTCTCGCCCTACCCTCCGCCTTCCCAACTCCGAACCTCCCTTGATCGTCTTCAACGTCTAGTCGCACCTCATCAAATCATCTTTGATCTGCGCTCTACATCATCAGGCCTGAAACCATCCCTCAATCAGGATCTCGCGACTTTGGACGCTTTCGAACTGACCTACACTCGACAATGGCTTGAGCGACTCGTCTCCCTCGGTTCGAGACGACTTGTTCTGGTGGAGGACGAGGAAGAGGTATTGGAGTGGGAGGGTTTGGTGGAGGATGGGTCTTATGTGTTGGGGAGGTTGATGGGTGGGAGTGGTGAGTTAGGCTGCTCGTGGTGAGCTTTGCAATTGGCATGGGATGGGTCAAGATCGTGTCCCTTCCCCGCGACGACTGACCTTCATTCTCCTCCATTTGTGGGTATGCAGCGTCAGGAGGATCCGAACAAGTTTTCCTCCTCCCATCACCACTAGGACAAGAATTCGAACCTCTCCGTATCCGAATACGAGAAACGACCCTCCTCTCCAACTCGACCGGTTTCAGAACCTGGGGATCCGCCACACTGCTCGCCCAACGGATCGCTTCGAACCCATTCGACTACTTACCCACGACGACGACGACGATGACGACCAGCTCTGATTCTGAACCCGTCGCCGCTGTTAGAATTTTGGAATTGGGAAGTGGGACAGGTCTGGTAGGTTTGACCCTGATCGCGACGCTCTCGGCTTTGGGGATTCGTTCCAAAGTGGATTTAACGGATCATGAAGATTCGGTTCTGGACAACCTGCGGCGCAATTCGGATAGGTTCAGTACGGAGGAGCTCGATGAGGAGGAGGAGGTCGTGGGGAGTAGGGTTTCGAAACTTGATTGGTCGGATCATCAGTCCGCTTTGGGGTCCATAAGGTCCCATAGTAAGGAGGGGGGTAGGAAAGTGTACGATCTGATCGTCGCCGCGGACGTGATTTACGAACCCGATCATGTTGGATTGATACACTCGACCGTGGCGGCATTACTTCGCCAACCTGATCCACGGTCAACTACGACTAGGTTCGGGGAAGGGGGTACGTTCCATCTTGCTCTTCCTCTGAGAAGCACACATGGCCTCGAGATGGAAGCGTTCGAGAAGACTTTTCCTCGAGTGAGCAGTGAGCGTGATGGAAGAGAGGAGAGTGGTGGTGGCGGTGGGGAGGCGTGGAGGTTAGCCGTTGTGAGTGAGGAGTTGATCAGGGCGGAGAAGGGGGATGATGGCTTTGAATCGGGTAATGGGGTGGAAGAGTATCGGCTGGTAAGGATCCGATGGGACTCAGGCGAACAGGTGAAAGGGGTTGGGGTGGGGAGTGTGTTTTTAGGGGTCGCAGATCCTGAGTATTGTTGTATTACATTGAATGTCTGAGCTAGGAGTGAGAATGAGTATGAGTGCTCCCGAGTTTTGAAAGACCTATCTGGGAGCTGATAAGGACGCCCATTCGAGAAATAACCTGAACCGAGATCAGAGAACCGAGCGCTTGACAAATACCACCACGAGCCCCTAACTTCGTTCAGCCGAGGGACCAAATTCATTCGGGAGTGGAAGGCGTGGTCACAACATGTGAAGGCGATCATTGGGTGCTGCTATACTTCCTTCGCTTTACTTCCATATGGCTCAAAGAGGTGATAACAAAGTATCGAGGACCGAGCGACAGCTCTCAGTGCGTTTTGAATTGAAAAATGGTAGACACCCTATATTGATTGGTATTCCCATTTTCCTCCAAATCGGCACGGAGACGCACAACGGAGCCGGCAATAGGAGGTCGCTCGAGGCGCAGACACTATCGCCTCATAGCAAGTGAAGCAGAGAAGGAAGTAGTAGGGATGGAGACGTATATGAAAAAGGATACTTCAGGCTGCGGACCGCACCCTCGGGCTAGAACTGGCCCCCTCTAATCCATCTGTTGATCATCTCGAGCGCCTCGACAGGCTTGTCGTGAGGGACCATGCTGCACAGACACCACACAACACTTGAGCACGGTGCGGACACGGACCATGACGAGAAATTCGGTTCTACTCACTGTCCGGCGCCGTCCACCTCCAGGTACGTGAGCGGACCGGAGCTCTTGGTCTTTCCCACATCTTTCCCATTCGGCATTTTGAACTCAGTGAACGGGGCATTCACGTACTTCAGCTGGCCTTGCCATTGCATGGCGTTGGTCCAGCGCCGGACTCCGACGTAGTTGCACTAGGGATGAAGCGAGTAGGACAGGGGGGCGAGTGCGCGTCACATTAGTGTCCATCCGATTCGAGACAATAAGGGACCAACCCCCGCTACTCACGACGACGTCGCTGCGGAGGAAAGCAGTCGGAGCAGGGGTGTCAGCAACATGATACCCTGTGGGAGCGACGACCTTCTTCGTCCAGGACTTACTTGACACCGACGTAAGCAAGCAATTTGATGCCGGACTCGAGCAATTCCGAAATCAGAGCAGGGGTATTGCTCACCCCTGTAACAAGGGGGCACCAACGAGTTCAGATCCACCTCGGGATCGAAAGGCATCCGCGCGACCACACAGTCGAGGTAGTGCTCAGTGGCGCGGAGAGGAAAACTTACAGTCTCCACTCAGTATGAAAGCATCGTAGACCGAGACACTGCATTCCTCGAACGGCTTGGCTTTGAAATCGACACCGAGTTCCGCTCGAATTTTCGGCAGATTGAGGTAGGTCGGGATCCAGGACGCCTGTTTGTAACACAACGGTCCATCCTTGGACGGTGAGCGATCGCACTTCTTGGTGTAGTCGTAGGGATTCAGCCCAGTACTGTCGTACGGCTCTATTGTGGTAAAATTGTCCAACGCGTTGCCAAAGCCGAAGCAATAGGTGGGGTAACTAGAGTCAGCTCGGGCTTTCATCGAAGGCGGGCTCGCGAAACGAAGAGTATAATTTTTATCACTGACCGTCAAGACTGATACAATCCACCTCCGCTTGAAGACAATTCAGTTGCGTCGAGTTCTGCCGACACGTCGCCGTCGAACTACGGCAGGTATTGATTTGCGAGTTGAGCTTATGGCAAGTCGAAGTGTTGTATATACCCTTCCCGCATGCGAAATCGACCTGCCCACGGAGTGCGGCGACGATCTCGACGAAGCCGTTGCCGATCGCCATCGAGACGAGGGGCACATGTATCGTGTCGGGAGTGGCCCCATCAAGATGCTTGTTTTTGTCCAAGATGACCGACGCGACGTTGGGAATGTACATCCCCGCGTACGACTCTCCCATGACGTGCTTTATTGGTTTGAATAAATAGACCCGAGTCAGGGGTAGTCAATATCTCCACTTCGAAAAGGGTCAGACGAAGAACGAGGTGACCGACAAAATGATTCTTGGCGAGCTCGGGGAATGCTCGATAGAAGAGTTGCATGAAAATATATATGTCCTCTGCGGCCTCGTGCGAGGTGTTGACGTGCTTACGGGCTTTCGAGAAACCGACCTGTAACGTGCGCGAGTCAGATTATAGATGTGGCGAGCGGATCAGGAGCAGATCAGGACCCCAAAGTGCAGCTTGGACAACTGACATTGACGGGAGAGTCCAAGAAGATCATATTGGCGTTCGAGTTCCACGAGTAAGGATTGAAAGTCGAACTCTTGCCTTCGTTGGTGACCAAGCATGGGCCATTCTCGAGCAAGAAGCCTGTCATGCTCGAACATCCAGGACCGCCATTGAGCCAGAGCAGGAGCGCATCTTCGTCAGGCTTGTCGCGGGATTCGGCGAGGGAGAAAAACATGTGCGAGTGTTCTGCGATGTCGAGATAGCCCGAGTAGATCGTGTCTCCGTCGTCACACAGCTATGGGTCCCCCATAAGAGTGCATTTGGCATCAGTGCCCCACGTCGAAGAGCCTGCGCTGCTCGGACCTATTCACTGCATAACTGACTATGGACTTCTGAATGCGGAGCTTGTGATTGGGAAAGTCGGGATGGAAAATAATTTGAGCTGTCGAAGAACGAAGTGAAACTTTGGGGCGTCAGCTCGGGGTGTCATGAACGCTGAGTCGGGGATGTTGAGGATGCCTGAGACACATCTCGCTAGGCGCACGCTCCCCTTCCCCTCCCGCCCACTGCCCGGGTGAAAACGGGTCGACGCTACGTACACGTCGTCCCGTTGCTGATGTCGCCCTTTGCGACCGTCTCTGAGCCCTTGCTGCGGCCCCAAGAGGAATTTGCACCCACGGCTGCGGGACTGGTTGCGGCATGTACGGCGGTCGCTGCGAGCGTGGCCGTGATGGGGATCAACAGCGTGCTCCACATCGTCGATCTTTGGAGTACTGGGTAAGGATGAAGTGATTGGCAGTATCGGACTGAGAAGAAGAGGAAGAGAGAGAGAGAGAAGTTCGGCCTGAGGACAGCTCATAAACTAGTGTGCTGAGGGCTACCTTCGAGCTATGCTAAGCTATGCCGAGTCGCAAAGCACTAGTCGATGGGCCCTTGAACGCTCAGAGGCTCCTGTTACGACCCCCGAAAGAGCCCGAACACCCAGCCATAGGCGGCCCTCTAAAAACGGCCTTTTTCGAGGCAGAATGTCCAATTTTTCCCGGATTCTGACTGAAAATGTCCAAATATGAGGGCCGCCTAGTGTTGAGTAATTTCTCAAACCTACTCTACAAGCTGTACAATGCTCAGAATCCCTGAAGCTCGTTAGAGCTGAAGGTTTCGTTTCGAAAAATGGGGGGGGTCCCAGCCTCGAAAATGATGCTACATATTCTGAGATTTTATTGGACGAAATGGCCGAAATATCCCGCACGCGCGTGGCTGTCGAAACCCCAATAGGAGAGCCCGATATCAGCGCCGATTGGTGCGAACAATGCTCCCCCCGATGGGAGGACCCTGCCTTTGAGCGCAATAGGAGAGGCCGACTCGGTGTCAGCGCCGATCGGTTTGAACAATGCTCCCCCGGATAGGAGGACCCGGCTAAGCGCGCCGATCATTAATTCTCAATGGCCAGTGGCCACCAGCCCGGTTGCTAACCTAACGTGCCGAGTCGGCGCTCTCAGCACATAGCTTGGGCGTCATCAGCCTTCCCGAGTTCCCGCGCCAGAGCGCACTACAGACTACCGCAGACAAGCGCAAGCTAGCGCACTCAGGCTGGCCTCCGTTAGCAAGTTGCCACCGCCCGGCCCTCTCCTCTCTGTACTGCCTTATTCTAACTTGGACCGAGTGTCCTCGCATCTCTAACACAGGCTATCACACAATCGCCGTCATGTCACTGCTTTCTGATCTTGTACACCTCCGCACCATCGAGGTCAGCCCACACCCACAGCGCTCAACGCCTCGAATCTCCACAACGTGTTAAGCCCGCGTCCACCACTAGCGACAGCCGATCCTCCCGCCGCACCGATCGAGCACAGTGTGTGTCTTCCGGTCCGCTCCTACGCAATAGTTGAGTGTCAGTACTCGAAGATGTGGTTGTCAAATGCAGTCTTGGGCAGCTCGTGCGCAGCTCGTGCGCAGCAGCATCAACTTCAGCATGGATCTCCTGAAGGAGCTTTGTCGGGCGCACCACGTGGAAGGATACTCCAGGAGGAACCCGCTTGCGAAAAGAGCGATTCCTACGAGAACTCGTCTGGTCGTGCGATCCAAACTGTGATGCTTGTTCAAATGAGTATGTCTTCAGAAGACAACAAGCCGCGACCCCCGTGACTCCGCCACGTCGACATTGCTTCCCCGACCACAGAGCATACGCATCAAAACCTGTTGACGTGCTTCGAGCCTGACTGAACGAAGAAGTCCAGAAGAATCGCGAGAACGTCTCAGCGACTGACTCTAAACAAACGCTGCACAGACTTCCACCGCTGCATCCCGAACCCGAACAAGAAGAACCCGGTAAAGTGACATCGCATTTTGCGCCAGCATCCGATCTGTTCAAGACCGAGCACCGTTCTGAATGGAATGATTACTTCACCGACGCTTGTTCCCGTCTCTTCTGCTGCCTGGTGTGCTCCGAGAGAGTCTTCGGGCATCAAGTACGATGGGTGCCTGAACACCGCATCAAGCGTGAGGAATCAGGGATTTGGAAGGTATTAACCAACTCTACACTACGTACGGACCTCCGACCACCGACTTACGATTCTTCAGCTTGGCGGGGCGCACTCATCCATCCCCGAGGTCTTCAGCGACCGAAAGATTTAATCGATCAGATCGCGTACTCGCCCATGAACAACACGCTTCAGTGCTCACTCTGTCCAGACTGCTTCAAACGGTTGTTCCCTACCACAGGGCCACCGACTAAGCCCCCTCGGTCGTTGAGCAACGGATTTTATCGCGCACTGGATCATGTCCCCGCTGAAGTCCGAGTATGCTTCTCCTACGCGAGTCAGCTTGAGCACCTCTCCACTGCGCGCGCCAGAGCCTACAAGAGCGTGTACAAGCTAACTCGTTTCGGAGATCCCAAAGTTCAACAAGAATATACGCGCGGAAACACCCTCATCTTCAGCCAGAACACCGCTTCGTTCACCGATGTACTGTCTATGTTAGTGTGTGCGTTCTATTCTGCAGAGAGAACCCCAACCTTGCGGAGCTGGACAAGTGTCGACCCATGATCGTGAAGCAGAGTCGGATCCACTGCAAAAGATGCTCAGGTGATTGATCAACGAAAGCAAGAATCCGGCGTACTCTGCCGTCTCCTTTTTTAATGGCGAAAGACTTGCACAGCTCGTTCGACGCAATTCTGGTGTGCTCAACTCTACCTCTCCAGCACCCACGGCGGTTTCAGCTTCCACTTCGGCTTCGGCTTCCGTCTCGGTTGCTCCCCAAGTGTCGGATGGACAAACCTCGGATGGAGACAGTCTCGTGCCCGACGCAGTTTTGGCGAATGTGTTTACCGCAGAGACAGTGGAACCAACATCATCGCTCTTTGAAGGCTACGCAACAGCGCATAACGACTCTGATGAACCAGTATTCGAACACGTCCATGTGCCGCCACCCGCTACCGACGAACCAGTTCACTCGTGGCAGTTCTCTGAGAAAGCTCTCCGTTATTTCAACCACTGCAAGACCAAGCCCCCCATGTCATTCCGACAGGCGACGACCCTTTGTGGGGATCTTCGGATGACTTCCTGCTCTCAAAGCTGCAGTGTGGCCACACCTCGATCCATTCGGTCTCGTCGGTGTCTGTGTCGAGCGCAACGTCAAGATTTCTCTGGAGGAGCAAGTCAAACACTGGCTCAATCTATACGACAGCGATTTTCGGTGCGACCCGTCTTTCCCGTTCATCATCTCGAACATTCTCCGCCGACGAGACGTGTTTCGCCACCTCGCTTTTCGGGTCCCCAAAGAGAAGGTGGCTCGAATCGCAGCAGCACTGCTCGAAATTTACCGCATATCGACCGTATTCTGGCGTTTCGTCCAAGCACACACGTACTTCAACCAGGCGAGACAAGCCCCACACGCTCGCTTTCAGTTCGTGCCGCATCGGATCCGGGTACATGCCAGGCACAAGCCCCTCTTCATGCAAGTCTCGCGTACAATCAACTAAATACCTGGGTAAGCTGATTTAACATGTCTACCGCATCGTCATCATTACAGCCTTGTCAGTAGAAGTCAATGTGGCCGTGCACCAGTCCGCCCGCCGCTGCTTTGATCAAGCGGCGGTGGTTCTCCCTTGTCCCCCTCTAAGTTCTCACCGACCGTCCACCGTCGCCCAAGAAAAAGCTATCACCGGTCAAGAGGTCCATTACCGTGACATTGACCTTGCAGTGCCCCTTCCAAAAAAAACGTAAGTCGCTCCCTGAAGTCCCGATCTCTCAACGTCAACTGAAGCCACTTCTTATAGCCAAGTTCGGTGAAAGCGCGATGTGGGTCCCCGGCGCTGACGACCACATACATACACAAAGTCGGAGTCGGACCAGACACGGACTGTGGCATGGGCGATGTCGAGTGATCTCAACTTATGCATCTACACCCCGGCTCTGGCTCGATCTCTTCTTGTCTGCAATGTTCATTAATGTTTGGCACATACTTACACGACTCATTGATGTGGATTGAACCGACTCGCCAACTTGGTGCTGCATGCCCGATCCATGGCACGTTCTTAGTTATACTAGTAGCTGACGTTGTCAGTCGGTGTTACATCAGCAACTTTGCCACTTTGCTAAACGCCACTTAATAAATTTCGAGCCGCTAAACCGCTAAAGTGCGCAAAATGGCACAAAATGGCGCTAAAATTGGCACTGTTTGATGAAAAGTTGGAGGAGTGCTGTGGTGAGGTGTAACAATGTCAGGACCTTGGTTGCTATTCTTCCTATTACAAACTCTAGGTATCAGTATACCAAGTACTCGACCTGCAATAGATATATAAAGACATGATTTGCTCTCAACACCTGTTTGCAGTATTATAATCTACTCTCAAAGGACTGAAGCTATACTGTTGATTCAATTGACCAAAATCATGACAGGGGCTATTCTGATAGATCCATTTGCGCCGCCCTCCCTTTCCCCTTCCCGCGACTCTGAGGCGTTCTCTGATCACGTAGAATTCTGATGCTAAATAATCTCGTAAAGCGATAACATACATGCTCACAAGTTCACAGATTTACAGTCAACTGGTCTTTCCAGATGTCCACAACATTCTGGATATTCCATGCCGGCGTGATCTCCATTTGTCAAAGTAGCACCTGCCTAAGATCCGATCGTAAAACAAAACATCCTCAACCGAGTGTCGTAGATTGAAGTTGCTGTGCGGCGACGGAAGAAGGAAATGCGCCTCTTGCGCCTACGAACAGAGTGGGACTTAGACAAATTTTGGAATTTTGGGAGTAAGGCGCGAGTCGCCGCGCGCGGCGCGCCAACTGGCGTGAACCGGGCCTTCGCGAATCGCCAGTGAGCGCATAGTCTTTTTGGCCTTTGCTGCAAGATTTTGACGCGGACAGCTCAAGCGCGCTGGTCTCGGCCTAACGGGGCCCGCTCGCGCTCCACTCTTCGAACACGCATTCTTTGGACCCTGTGCCAGCACGCACTCTTCTCGGCCCCCTTGGGCCTCCCGCCTTGCTCACCCGCTGGCGCGCGCGGGCCCTTCCTCTCCCTCTCCCTCGTCGTCCCGCACGCCTTAGCGTTTCGTGTTGTGGTTCCGGCACCCCCCCCTGCCAGTCTCTACTCACTCAAAGTGGGTAACATCCCTCGTAAGCCCTCTGCCCTTGTTGGACAGTTGGACTGATGAGCTAGCCTGCCACTACGTTGTAAGCAGCCGCCGTACCCGCTGCTTTGCAAGGTCGTATCGCACCCACTGCTTAGAGCAAGGGCGAACTTTTCGAGAC